TGGACTCCATAAGCGGTACTGCGCAAGTTTCCAGGGGCAAGAATGAGGCGTATCTGAACCCGAACCTAGCACCCAGTGCCACACCCATGATTGCATCGGCTACTTCGTTCACCAGCACGTCATACAATACGCCGCCAACCAGCACCGTGCCCCGTTCTTTCTTCGACGACGGCTCCGCGCCGCCTTTGACATGGACGCGCCTGGTTTCCAACATGCGCCGGGCTGTGGATCGCTATCGCGATGCCATTACCAGCAACAACCGCTCTGAATATGTCGCACGCGCTGAGGACATTTCTGACCACCTTAGGCTACTTTTGGCTGCTGGGTCTGGCACAACTGACAACCATTCTGGCCAGCCCTCCATCATTTCGACGAACAAAGCTCTCTACCCTCACTTCAGGGACATGATGTCCAAATTTTCCAAGCTCGTGATTTCATCTCACATCGCTGCCGCAGACTGGCCCAATGCCGAGTCCGTACAGAAGTGTCTCCAGGAAGCTGACGGTGTCCTGCTCGGAGTTTTCAGCTACGTTGAGATTGCTCGGCAGCAACGAGGAGAGGAGATCCCCCGACTTTTCCCTGGGTTCGTCATAGGTAGTTCCACAGGAGGTAGTTGGCAGAACAACGGCCTCGGATCCCGCGATCCTATCACTGCGAACTTTTTAGAGGACGAGGAGGGCGTCGTCGAGCCCACGGCCATGCTGGACGGGAAGTTGCTCGAGAGGCTGGATGAGCTCAAGCGAATGCTTGTATTCAGCATAAGAGAACTGGACAAGAACTTGGTTGTGGCTGACAAGATCATCACACCTTTCAGGCACGAAATCATTGGCAACAACGTCTGCTCGGCCGGGGGCAAGGTTCTCGAGACCTTCAAGCCATGGTATGCTCTGATCGAGTCCATCGATCTCTCGTCTCTCGGAAACAGCTTTCAAACGCCTCAACTCGCGGATTTTGCCGCCAACAAGCAGAGTCTTTACGACAACATCTCAGACCTCGTGGTAGGCTGCCAAGCTGTAGCTGGGCCTTTGGCTGACGAGTGGGCCGAGGTGCGAGGCGAAGCTCTGGAAAACCGTCTCGAGTACGTCCGGCAATGCGCGAAGGCGCTCGAGATGAACTCGTCACACATTGGATTCTCGTTGCAACTATTGTCCGAACAAGTGCAGATTAATATGCAGCAACATGTCGAGTCTAGGCACAGGGACGACGTCATGCAGCGCGAACAGGTCCGCAGGGGAGACGCCATGTCGTATGACCGACCTCACCAACGTACTGAGTCACGGACAACTCCCACAGCGGTCCGTCCTCCTATGATCACTTCACAGTCATATACCGAAGGAGACAACACTGGAAACTTCCGAGGGGGCGATTACTCAAAAGTTAAGAAGATTTTGGGTGACGATCCGAACCCTCAGAGCAATGTTCCTCCGGTTGATGAGACGCCGGAGTTCCTCAAGTTGGATCACGAGCCAGATCTGGCGTGGGATAACAAGCTTACGCCGCCCATTGTCAAGGGTGGCACTTTGGAAGCTCTTGTGGAGCAGCTGACGCGCCACGACAAGTTGGATTCCAACTTTAACAACACGTTCCTTCTTACATACAGGTCTTTTACGACAGCCCAGGACCTGTTCAAGCTTCTCGTCAATCGCTTCGGCATTCAGCCCCCCGAAGGTCTATCTCAACAAGATTTCGAGGCATGGCGGGACAGGAAACAGAAGCTCATTCGCTTCCGCGTCGTCAACATTCTCAAGAGTTGGTTCGATAACTTCTGGATGGAAGAGCACAACGAGGAGTCGAAACAACTTATTCGGGACGTCTACACCTTTGCACGGGACACCGTCAAGTCTACAGAAACGCCCGGTTCCGCGCCCCTCATGTCAGTCCTGGATCAAAGGCTTAGTGGCCAGCAGGCCGGAGCCCGCCGCATGGTCCAGACTTTCAACCAAAACACGCCGTCGCCCATTATGCCCAAGAACATGAAAAAGCTCAAGTTCTTGGATATCGATGTCACGGAGTTCGCTCGTCAGCTTACGATCATCGAGTCGCGGTTATACGGGAAGATCAAACCCACCGAATGTCTTAACAAGACATGGCAGAAGAAGGTCGCCGATGGAGAGCCTGAACCAGCACCAAACGTCAAAGCGCTCATTTTGCACTCCAACCAGATGACGAACTGGGTGGCGGAGATGATTTTGGCGCAAATGGATGTGAAGAAGCGTGTTATCGTCATCAAGCACTTTGTCGCTGTCGCAGACGTAAGCAGTGCCCCGGAGCTTTCACGATGGTCCGAACCTTGTACTGACATTACACAGAAATGCCGGAGTCTCAACAACTTTTCTACACTTACGTCGATCATCTCAGCTCTAGGCACCGCGCCAATTGCCCGTTTGAAGAGAACCTGGGACCAAGTACCGCAACGGACGCAGGCTGTTTTAGAAACCATGCGGAAGCTCATGGCTAGTACAAAGAACTTTGGCGAGTACAGAGAAGCTTTGCATGTGGCGAACCCGCCATGCATTCCTTTCTTCGGTGCGCACCCTTTTCTCCCCTTTGGCTTCCATGCGAGGCAGGGCCAGAACAGTGTTAGCTGACATAGCCCTCTAGGTGTTTACCTCACCGACTTAACCTTCATCGAAGACGGAATTCCATCCATCATCAAAAAAACCAATCTTATCAACTTTGCTAAGCGGGCAAAGACGGCTGAAGTAATCCGTGATATCCAACAGTATCAGGCCGTCGGGTACTCGTTGCAACCAGTCCCAGAGCTGCAGGACTACATAATAAGCAATATGCAAGCCGCAGGAGACGTGCATGAGATGTACGACAAGAGCTTGCAAGTCGAGCCACGCGAGCGAGAAGATGAAAAGATCGTAAGGTACGTAACATTAAGAGATCGACCCGGAGCATTCGGCGGGGTTTCGTTTCGGGGTTAGAGACCGTCGCCTGGTTTACCCGCACATACATGAGCCCACCATCAGTTTTACTTTGTCGGAGGCAGCGCCATACTCTGCGCCCCCGAAACACACTTTATTGTTTACTTATGGCAACTCTTCTGCTTGAAACTGAGGACGTTGGCTTACTCTATTTGGTTTTGATACAGGGTTCTTGCCGAATCTGGTTTCCTTTGATCGGTCACTGCCGGAACGGAGAGGGACACACCTGCGACACACCTGCGCCTCGTCCATGCAGGGAACACAGTGTGGATGATCTGGCTGTTGCTGTCGGCGGGCGTCCCGCGCGTCGACGGGACTATCATGGCACGCGCAAGATGCACAAAATCACCAGGCCCACACCCTTCGAGCCGGCCCACCAGGATGGCTACGGCCTAGCTGATATATCAACTACCTGCTCAGTGCTTGCTGCCGCAGGGGTTGTGACCTACTTAGGCCCCGTGGTCACGGAGGAGCAATGTCGATGCGTGATACGAGCCAGTGAACGGGTCAACATACTCAGCATCGAAGATTATCTACTCCGTAACATGGAGGGAGGAGAACTGGCGGACGGGCACTATATCAGGAGATGGCGGACATTGATGGGTGATGAATCATGCAAGTATGACTCACAGGCTGTTGGGCTCGAACCCCAACAGCGTGCCCTTGCAATGGAGGAGGGGCGCTGGTGTATTCAAGGCCCAGCTCGGTAACGCATATTTGACCAAGCGCGGAAGGCCGATGACGGGAAACGGAAGGGGGCTGACGAGGTGGAAGGATAAACAACAAAACGAAAAAAAGAGAGCCCAAAGTGAAATGAAATCTTGGTGTAAAACGGGATTTTATTTTGTTTACTTTATTCATTCATCTGGGTTCCAAGCCATGCTGGGAGCGGTCATGTTGGAAAAGGGGTAGGAACCAACTCTTGTCTTGGCCAGTCAGCCCGTCAACGGCCGCCAAAGTCTTTTACTTTTACCCCTAGTCGTGCCGATATTTTTCAGACATCAGAGAAGCTCGAGTAAAATAGTTAATATGCCATTATTGGTGTAAGAAAATGGGCCCATGGATAATGTACTGCGATGTGCCTGCGTGTCTGTCTTCTTGTTTCTCCCCAGTGGGTTTTGCCGTTTTAGTATTATTATGTTTTATAATTTTATTATTATTGTTATTATTATTATTATTGTTGTTGTTATCATCATTATTTTGCTTGACTGCGCCGTAGATGCGCTGGCTAATATGGGCAGGCACAATCTCCTCCTATGCGAGACCGTATTAGAGCCGTGTGGGTAGGCGGGTGGGTTGGTGGTCGTATAGTAAGAGGGAATGGGGTGTCGGCCTTCGAGTGTGTCGTCTAGGTAGTCTGCTTTGGACACAGATGCAGTGGAGGGGTAAATACCCGGGTCCATCCTGTTCCACTACAAAAGCCTGGAGTGACGTATAGGCAAGTAAGAGGCTGGCCAGGATCATGATACTGACAAGACTGGGAGCGCCAGTCAGCGAGCGGCCCATTGTACACTAGCAACATTCACATCCCACCAGGGGCCATGACGTTATATGTTGAAAGGGTCACCGTTCGTGTGTGCGACTGTTGCCTTGCATTTAGGGAGGAGGGGCGGCACAGCCACCCACCCCTTATTGGCGCCAGCGTGCAGAGAGAGGTGTGGTATAGTGCTGGGGGAGCTGGAGGTGAAATTGGGATCGGGGTACGGCTAAGTCGAGAGTGGTTTCCAAACAAGTTTCCCACGCGAGCACAAGTGTGATGCGGGAAGGGTGGCAAATCGCCGCTTGTCCCGCAATGTGTATGTATTTGGAGGCACGAGAGAATGTCTGCGAAATGTTGCAGAGGGCAATCACGGCTGGCATGAGTATCTATAGCTCTCTCCGAAACATGCACGTCGTAATGGCTCACACGAAAACTCCAGGTACGCGTGACCTGACTACTGTTAAGTCTACAACCGTGGTTACCAAACATAATGAAGCAGCCATCATCAAAGCCACGTCGCGGCACTCGCACTACAATTACTGTTGGTATAATATGGAAATGTCCAAATGATCTTTGGCTGGATCAGGCTCCTAGTGGCGGTGAAGCTTGGCCTTAATCTTGTCCTTGAGGCTCTCCTTCTCCGTCTCGGTACCCGACTTGGGGCTGTGAGTGCGGACTTCGCTGGTCTTGTCGCTTGTCTTGTCACTGCTAGACTTACCGTCAGCCTTGGCAGCGGCGTGAGCAGGGTCCTTCTCGTCTAGGAGGCCTGTAGAGGAATGTGTTAGCTGGGGTTGAAAAGTATCGTCATGGGAAACACTTGCGATCTGCCTCGCGGCCGGCGCCAGGCTTGGTTGCATCAAAGTCACCGCCATCAACAGCCAGGCCAGAGCTCTTGACATATTTTTCACCCGTGCCCTCGCCGTGGCTAGGCTCCCTAGGGTCATTTTCGTTCTTGTCCTCGATACCTGATGTCGAGTCACCCTTCACCAGACCGCCCTTGGCCGAGTCCTTGGCATTGCCGGCGTCACCTCCGCGCTCCTTGGCAACGATCTCCAAAGGCTTCGGACCCGGGCCGTCGAGCTTGTCACCTCCGGCAATGGGTCCGGAGGATTTGTTGCTGACGTCTTGGCCCTTGGGTGCAGGGTCGGTGGCCGGATCGGCAGGTTCGCGTGTGTCGGTCTTGCCAGAGGCGCTATCGGCCGGAGGCACCTCGCTGGGAGAAGTTTTGCTCAACTCGGGTTTGCCGATGTCTTGGTGCTTGGAAGAGTCCCCAGTCGTAGATGACTTGTTGGGTGTGATGACTTCCGTAGCGCGAGACCTGTCTGGCAGCGTGTTTTCCGTAGGAGGGTTCGACTTGTGTGTTGACGAATCGTCCGTTGTAGAGGTTCCAGTTGGCTCAGTTGAGGCAGTGCTTGTGTTGGGAGTAGAGGTCGTGGTAACGCCCGTAGTTGCAGAGGGCTCAGAGGTCACCGCTGGCCCAGTCGTGCCAGAGGCGTTATTGGCGTCTGCTATGTTGGCCTTCTTCTCCTTAATCAGAGGGTCTTCTTCACTCAATGTCAGAAACTTGGCTTTGGGAGCTAGGCGGTTTGCAAGCCGCAACACTTCCACTTTCACATACCAATGTTGCCAGCATCATATGGTTCGCCCTGGTTGGTGTTTCCCTTGACACCAGAAACAGGCTCCTGATTGGCTTCGTTCGTACCCCAAATGGCCTTGTTTGCCGCGTTGGCGATAGTAGTTATGGTCTCCATATCGGTCGCGATTTGGCTGAGAGAGTGTCCTATATGGCTTCTTGTTCTACCGTGTCAACTATTTGGGATGTTGTGTGCAGTAAAGTACTTGGGTCTGGGACGGGTGGCCGTGCTATCGGGTTATTGTATGTTGGGTCTACGTGGGAAACGGAAGTTCTTCAAGGGAGGGGTGAGGATGCCAAAGAGGATTCTTATAGCAAGTGTAGCCAGTCTTGAGTAGGTCTGACGTCTGTAGGGTCTCGCGAGACTTTCCACCTCCGCCTTCCTGGAGAACGCACCCGAACGGCACAGCATGGTGGGTATAGCGGCAGCAGGCTTCCCCTCCTAGAACAAGCGAGGACGTGGACCAGCATTCGCTCTCGGCCGGGACGGGTACGACGGCTCAAGGGAGAACAAAAGATATCTTGGCCACCATTGTCCAACTTGCCTCGCCTTCCCGAACTCGCTGGGGCACACGTATGTCTGCTAGCCAATGGATCGTGAGAGTGACGAGAGAGGGAAGGGCCATCCAGGCGGCAGCTAGGTATCTTGGTTCCTAGCAGCAACTCTTGCGCTATCCATGTCCTCTGTGCTCGCCCGTACGTAAGAGTTGAGGGAAGGGTAGCTTGTGCAAGGCAAAAGCAAGGCAAAATGACCAATCGCAAGCAGGCAGTTGGTAGGTGGGCAGAAGCAAAGCTTGCCCATCTCCCCTGTCGCATTGGTGGATGGACGTCCGGCGCAGAGAACTAGTGTAGATGAGATCACGTCAAAGCTGGTGCAAACGGGACGGGCTGCGATGGCTCTCGATGTGGCACATTACACGGAAGGCCAGCCAACGACCAGGCTAGTGCTCTCGTCTCGTGTCGCACAGTTCGTCATATTGTCCACCAAGCCGCCAAGAAACCTTGCAGCAGTGCAGAAGTGCATGGGCGGGATCGGTCGATCGGCAGTTGCGAAAGTGGGCGAGTCTAGGTCTGGGGAGGGGATGCACATGACTATGACGTTGAGCGTAGCTAAGAAGGGTGCTTCGACGGAACAGGCCGGCCGAAAGAGGATGGTGCAGGCAGGTTGGACAGAACGAGCTGCTACCAAGTACTGATTACGTCACCAGTCATTTCTTTGAGGTTGCCTTCGTGGTCTCGACCTTTGGAGGGGAACCGTTTACTAGGACTGGCACAATTTGTCGCCAGAGCAGAGAGGATCTAAAGCCAGCCCGCCGCTGCCCTGCAGTCATTTTGTCAGCGAACTGACACAAGTACGGATATGAGGAAATGATTTGACTGACCCTAGAACATGTACCTGTAGATACGATACCAGCCTTGTAAACAACTAACCCACTGTTTGTAGGCTAGTTTATGAACCCGCAGGCTGCCCTGAGCTTTCTTTGAGCTTGGCTTTCATACTTGTTCTTCAAAAGATTCACTATTTCATCCATGCAACCATGGTCGTAGTGCCGTGCAGGGACGCTACTGGCGTCTGGCTCCTCTCCTCGGCTGCAAGCCAAGTCGGAATACTGGTAGCGAAAAGCCAAGATGAACATTGTCCAAAAGACCCACGACCCCCTCCCTTCCTTGGCCATCATTCGTTTGACTGGGTAATTGAGGACAGGGAGACTTGACTCCACGTCAGGCGTGTGGAGGAATATTCCACCCATGAGATTCACAGCACTCTCGGCCGCCAGTCCCGAAAGCCTGGGTTACAGCGCCATCGAGTTTCTCATCACGTGTGTGGCTTGCCTACCTACCTGTATGTATCTACACGTACTTGGATGGTGGGGCCGCTTTGCGGTCTTTGGGCGGGTGTGGACCTGCCATCGCTTCGGAATGTCCCTCGTGCAGCCATTAGTGAAAACAGTTGGTCTGGCAGTTTGGACTCTGACTTGTTGAGATGGGTGAGGTAAGCCCGAAGGCAGTCACGCTGACACTGCGCCGCCCAGTGGGCCGGGGCATACGCGTCTTTAACCTGCGCTCTCAGACGCGATCGTACTCGTGAAGTTCTTATCTTGCCGTATCGGCACCTTTGCCAACAACTGTGTTGCAATTTCGAGCATCTCAGTTCATGGACCGAAACGCGTTGCTTCGCCCTTGCTGTCGTGTGCGGTGATTCTTCGCGTATTCTGGTTTGCGGCATCCTATTATCAACCACCGAAACGACGATGATGCTGCTTTCTGCTCTCCCCGTTTTCTTCCTGCTGGCCGAGGCCGCCGTTTTCTTCGAGAGGTTCTCAAAGTCCAACGGATGGCCTACAGGCCAGCAGGTTCTTGCCTCTCCAAGGAAAGGCATGTTCCCGAACAACGAGAAAAGAAAACTCCTGTAGTCTAATGAGGCTTCTCGCAGTTCTCACACCGGGCTCGTCCCAATATGTGTATACCGATGGTCAGCGACGCCCGCAACGTTCGGTAGGGTTTGTTGCTTTTGGCGATTCTTATAGTGCTGGCATCGGCACCGGTGTTGATGGGGTCGAAGACGACTGTCGACTCGGCTCCCACGCACATCCAGTCCTGATCTTCACTGACCTCGCCGAGAGCCAGGGGGCGAGCGCGACAACATTTCAGTTCCTGTCTTGTACCGGTTCAACCACTGGTAATGTCCTGTCTGGCGGCGAGCGCAGTCAGATTGATAGCTTCAACACATCTATCAATGCCGATTTCGCCATTCTTTCTATTGGGGGCAACGACCTTGGTTTCTTCCGCGTTATGAATGCCTGTATATTTCGTTTCTATAGTTTCTACTCGGGAACATGTGAGACGGCTTTGCAGTATGTGGCCGATCAGATCGAGAGTCCTGAGTTTGAGCACCGGTTAGCGATGGTCATCATGGAGATACTGGACAAGATTCAGTGGGAAAAACGACCATGGTTTGTCGTTACTGTTACCGGCTATGCTCGGTTTTTCAGTGTTGAGACTGACGAATGCGACAACTGCACCCTGGGTGTCTGGTGGCAAGGGCCGAAGCTCAAGAGGGATCTTCGCCAGCGGATGAACGATATGGTGGTGGCAGTCAATGACAAGCTAAAGCGATCCATTGACGCCGTCAACTCGAGGTACTCGACCCCAAAGGTATTATTCGTTGATTATGACGCTCGGTTTGAAGGGCATCGTTTCTGCGAGCCCAACGTAACAGAACCCGCGTACGATAGGACCGAAACCTGGTTTTTCCTCGTCGGAGGCAAAGACAACAACCCGAACGTAACGGACCCGACGCCAGCCCCCAACAGCACGAGCATCAAGGTTGATGCTGGGCGCGCTCGCACCCTGTCGCCGCTGTCGCCGCTCGTCGACCCGGACACATGCTTGGACTCAGCTGAGAGATCGGGAGACTGGGGCTTGCTGGCCCTGTGTTACATGGCCAGGGCCAAACGAGATGATCCTTCGCTGCGGTTTGCTCATGAGGATGTCATGATCCAGGATTCCATGTGGTATGTTCCGACATACTACGGGAAGACTTTTCACCCAGTAAGATTCTCCCTCTTCTTGGTAACTGACGTCTAGTCTCCGAAGCCTTTCGTTGACCACTTTGCAGAGGAGTCTCGGCCACGAGGCCGTCAAAGACGAAGTCTATAGGACCTGGTCCAGCCTAGATATAGCTGCGTGGCTCATGCCTGCAAGCAGCCGCTAACGAACAGTCGCCTGTGGGATATAGGTAACTGGCAGATATATTCTGGCACTCGATATGCCCAATATTCGTGAATACGTCACGGTCTTCCCACAGTGCACTAAGCAAAATCTGTCTCCAGACCAAAAATGTATACATTGCGGTGCGCAGTCAATCAATAACCATTACGCTGTCGTAATTCTACCCTCGGTAGATTTCGCGCCGGGTCCTTCGTTGGATAGGGGCACTAGAGATACAGCGCCATGCCTGCCTTACCTATCGCGAGTCGGAGATATTTGGGGTTCCGGATCGCGAGTTGCACCGAAGATCCGTTCGCATGCTCCAGACGACCGGGGCTCTCTGTATTTGCAGGCCAGAGTGGTTCCGGTGCCTCTTCGGGCAGGCGGTGCATGTGTTTGGCGGGATCGCCCCATTCCCATTGGCTCGGAGAATCTCTCGGAAAGACCGTCTTCGGACTTCTGTGTACGCCAGCTCTTTACAGACGAAATGACCGATCAACTGCAATAAGTTGGAATGAGCTCTGATCACTAATGGGATAATATGGATCTACGGATACGCTCCGCCAGCTAAAATGACAGTTGCAGACGAAAATAGTCCTAGGATCGTGAGGTGTTATTTCGCTTCAGGCATTGTCTTCTTTGTCCCCTGCCCCTGCCTCAACGAGATACCCCGACGCTGCCACGCTGATCCCTGCCCCTTCCTCACGTTCCTTGCGGGCTGTCAGCATCGGTCAATTGCCATTTCTAGGCACCCATCGGGGTTGGTTCAGAGCTGAGGGGCTCTTTTTAGCATTATTAATCCGATGAACACCATGGCGTGATGAGGAGCAAGACCAACCGAAGGATCTGCGCGAATGTGATGCTGTTGAGTACAGATATATGTAAGTCGTGGCCAAGGAAAAGTTGTTGCTTTGGACTACCTTGGAATCAATGACAGCCATCGTGTCCAAACTCGGACTTTTCAGTGTGCAGTGTGGGGGTATTGAAGAGGCCACAGAAAGCAGCATGGATTTCGATGCCAGTGCGGTCCGGTGCATGTGATGATTGTGAAGACTGTTGACTATGCAGTATACAGATATTCCAGGGGGGCAAAGTGCTGGACCGATTTAGACCACAGCGTGCAGAGGAAATGAGAATATACGATTACATGCCCACTAGTTGAAAAAGAAAGGGGTCATGTGTCGCCCATACCTCCACGGCGGGCTGTGGACTTGACACTCTCCAAGCTTGAGTTGAGTGTGTTTGTTTCGTGAGTTTGACAAGGCTCTCACGAGTAGGGCACAATATTGCTGCACAAGGAGAGTCGGGGTACATGTACCAAAACCACTAGGAGCTGGGATCGGGACGGGGGCATTTCCGTCGATTGGGGCACGGGGGAGTCTGATGGCCCTGGCGGCTGGAACAATTACCCCCTGTCAGGATAAGCCCTGCTGCTGGGCCCCTACATATCCGTAATACCTAGGGCCAGATACTCAGAGCTACGAGTGCGATACCGTCGTATATGTATACCGTACCTGGTTTGTATCATTGCCGTTGATGTCGTTGATATGGTTATTGTGATATTGGAACGTACTGTACGCTTCTTCCTCTACTCTACTCGGCAGCTCTACATCTAAATTGATCATTCTGATGAACACTGTGCCCCCATCTAACCATGTTGCACGCTGCAGCATATGCATACTATACGATATGACACTAGTGCCTGCTGGCAAACCCCACGCCAAAAGCTGTGGCATTGGTCGGGTCGGAAAGCTGCTTCGCTACTGCAGCCATTCCGATGCGCACGCGGATTGTATGGCACATGAGTACTGGCAGCTTCCGAGAGAGGGGGGGGGGGGGGGGGGGGTCCGAAAACCTGGTCTGTCAACTATTGAAAAGCTGTCAGGCGCAACTATCAGCCAGCAGTTGTTGGGTTAGCCTCGTTCGGTAGTAAAGACCATAAAAAGAATGGATGGACGTGAAGTGCAATCATGTGGTATTTACCCTCATCTTTCTTTTGTCTAACGCCCATCCCTGGTTTTTCCTTTTCCATCCTGTCCTTCCCATGTACGGTACCACTTAAGCCCAGCTATCCAGGTTAAGCACCCTGCAATGCGGCTCACCGCCAGCACGTGGCACAAGCTGTCCTAGCAGGAAAACCTTCTCTCCGGCTGCCTCCAGGGCGGCAACGGCATCCTTGGCATGGGCCACATCAACTGCAGCCACCATTCCAATGCCTGTGTTGAAAGTGCGAACCATCTGGTAGGGCTCGACATTGCCGCTCATTTTCAGCCATCTGAAGACAGCAGGCATCTCCCACGCCGTCAAGTCAATCTCAGCAGCAAGGTGCTCTGGCAACATGCGGGGAACATTGTCAATAAGACCCCCTCCCGTAATGTGTGCCAACCCCTTGACAAGACGAGCTTCAATGACACCGCGCAAACTCTTGACATAGATTCTGGTAGGAGTCAATAGGCTCTCGCCCACAGTCTTGTCAGCATCCCATGGAGCTGCGTCGGTATATGCTAGACCTTCCCGTTCCAGAATGCGGCGGACCAAAGAGAAGCCATTTGAGTGAACGCCACTGGAGGCCAAACCGAGTAGTATGTCACCAGCAACCATGTCGCTCTGGCGTGGCAGTCTCTGGCTATTCACCATGACACCAAACGCGCAGCCAGCCGCATCGTAGTCGTCCTTCTGGTACATGCCAGGCATCTCAGCTGTCTCACCACCAACAAGGGTGCATCCAGCGTCAATGCAGCCTGCAGCAACACCTTCAACAAAGGACGCAGCAGTGCTCAGATCCAGCTTGCTGCATCCATAGTAGTCTAGAAACATCAAGGGCCGGGCGCCTTGGACAACAAGATCGTTAACGTTCATGGCAACCAAGTCAATGCCCACAGTATCATGCTTCTGCATTTTCTGTGCGATCATTAGCTTGGTACCCACGCCATCGATGGCGCCAACCACAACAGGGAGCTCGCCGTTGTCCAGCTGAAGACCACACTTGGCCAAGTCCATCTCGCCACCAAAGCCTCCAATTTCAGCATCAGCACCCGGCTGTTTGGTAGCACGCACTGCTTTCTTAATGCGCTCAACAAATTCGTTGCCTGCGTCAACACTGACACCTGCCCCAGCATATGTCAGAGCCTCCTTGTCCTGGCGTGAACGGAATGCACGGTGGGCAATGTCCTTGCGATAGTACATCTTATCGAAGTCGATGAGCGTAACGCCTTGCTCGTAGGCCTTCTTTACAGCAGCCTCAAGGGTATCAGCAGTGGCATTGACAGCAATGACACGACCGCCTGATGTCTGTAGCCGACCCTCGGGCGACAGATTGGTGCCTGCATGGAAAATGGTGATGTCTGGAGATGTCGGCTGGCCAACCACCATAGGCGTACCCTTGGCATACGAACCAGGGTAGCCACCAGCAGCCACCACAACAGTGGCACTGTACTTGTTTTCGACCTTAATATTGACGCAGTCAAGACGGGCCTCATGAGCCGTACAAGCCAGCATAATCTCAGCAAGATCCGTCTCAGCAGAGAGGAGGGGTAGGACTGTCTGCGTCTCAGGGTCGCCAAATCTGACATTGTACTCGAGAACCTTAGGGCCCTGGCTGGTAATCATGAGTCCAGTGAACAGGACGCCGCGGAAGGGGTAGCCCGACTTTCGCATGCCGGCAATAGTAGGCTGAACAACCTCATCCTCGATCTTGCGAATCAGTTCCTTGGTGGCAATGGTTGTCGGAGCGTAGCAACCCATGCCTCCTGTGTTGGGACCTTGGTCGCCGTCCCCAATGCGCTTATGATCCTGGGCGGGAGGAAGAGACAAAGTGTGGGTGCCATCGCTGAAAGTCAGGATGCTCAGCTCGTCACCTGCAAGAAACTCTTCAATGACAACCTCGTCGCCGGCAGAACCAAAAGCCTTGTCCACCATTATCTGTTTGAGCGCGTCTTTGGCCTCTTCCTTGGTAGTAGGGATGATAACACCCTTGCCGGCTGCGAGGCCAGTAGCTTTGATGACGACGTCATGGGATACACTGTCAACGTAGGCCACAGCCTGCTTGTAGTCGGAGAAATTTTCGTATGCGGCGGTTGGGATGTTGTACTTCTTCATGAAATCTTTGGAGAAAGTCTTGCTCCCCTCCATCTGGGCGGCTTCCTTGGAGGGCCCAAAGCACGGGATAGCGGCAGCGCGGAAATAGGCCTCGACGCCGTCGACGAGCGGGGCCTCAGGGCCGGGAACGACGAGAGTCACGGACTTGGACTTAGCGAACTGTACGAGGGCGGGGTAGTCATTGGCGGCGACATCGGTTATATTGGTGGTCTTGGGGCAGGTCGCGGTGCCTCCATTACCAGGAACAGCAAAAATAGATTCGACTAGAGGTGACTGGCTGAGCTTCCAGGCGAGGGCATGCTCTCGGCCGCCGTTGCCAATGAGCAGAATGCGCACACTGCCGGCCAAAGTCATAGTGACGGATGGAGGGCGACGGTGGTTAACTACAATTGAGTGATCAGCCAAAGTCTGTATACACGACACGATGAAGAAGAAAAAGCAGGCTGAGTTGGAGTCTACAAACATGTGCTGCTTGGCTGACTGATTGACTCACTTAGGGACAACGAGCCTAATCGGCAGGTAACGACGCCAGGAAACGGATGCGATGAATCGGGAGGAGGAGGAAGCGGAAGGAGGGGGAAGGAGAAGGATTGAGAGAAGTCGTCGATTTGGCCTTGACCCCACTCAGCAGTAAGGAAAAGTTTGTTTGCTGAACCTCGATGACTAGGTATTTTTTTGTTTTTGGTCAAGATGATCGCCCAGCCCCACCTTTCTATGGAGTACCGACTGGGTAGCATTGTGCAATCGCATTCATGACCAAGCGCGGCACGTCAAGACGCGGAGCAAACATGTCTCGACAACCAAGCAAAGAAACGTAGGCAGACTGACTACCTACCTGGTTCAACAGTGAAAAGGATGCAAGGAGACGGCAATTTTGGTCTCGGGCATAGTTACTTGGCTATCAATTGGCCTCTAATTAGCTGCTTGAATGTTTTGGGGTAAAGCATATCTAGGTACATATGTTACCAACCAGCGGGAGCGTCTCTCTGAGGAAACAACGCACTATCGATACCACGAAAAACCTGTCAGTGATTGCAGCGGCGGTTGCCGTTTTTCATGATTGAGTCTATTCCTTAGAGACGTGCTAGGAAGTTGCCGCTGGGTATGCGCGAACACTAGGCTGCACAGCGAGCTATCCATCAGAGAGCAGGTACTTGACATGATTAGTGTACTAAAACTACACAAGACCGACCTACCTACGTGCAAGAGTCTACCAGGTACACTATAGGTACAGCCAACATGGTTGATGGATAGGTAGGTAGCACGACAAGCAAGAGAGATAGGGTCAGACATGTCTCGGGCATCTCAAAAGTTGGCGCGTCAAGAACCACTCTGCCATCTTATCCATCAAGAATTATAGACTGCAGCAACATTGGCCCCCATACACAGGCGAGGCTCGTGCCCCAACGCTGTCTTTGAATCTTGGGTTTGCATGTGTCCGAAAGTCTGGCGTGGTGTCCAATTGTCAGACGAAACGCCGCCGGCGGCTCGCGCTCACCACTGCAACCTCCAATCACTACATACCTCCTTCGAGAGCAACGTGAGATGAGGCACTCACCATAATGCGCACACACACACACACACACACACACACAAGTACTCTTGGGGAGGTATTTGCCTGCCCCGAGGATACTCATGGCTTGCCGGAACGGATGCCCCCATTCATCCCCTTGTACGGCACAATGGGGCGTTTAATAAGGCCAGCACTCCTTGGCTTGCCCCGAAGCATGGGATACCACAGGCACACGTGTAGGGAATCGGGAGTGGGAAGGCCACCACGGGGCCTGGAACATGTAGGGTACACTCTGTACCTACCTACCTACCTACCTAGCTAGGTATAGGTACTACGTAGGCGCGTAGGCACCCAGGGTGCCCAGGGCACCCAAGGGTATGTGACATGGGTGAAGACGTTAGTGGGATTCCATGACAGATCCCGTTGCACTGTCCCGGCACCCAAGTCCGAGCTGGTAGGGTACCTAGATAGGGAAAGTTCGGTCCCCAATACGATACACTTTTCCTGGGTATCTCCGTCCGAATCAATAGGTGTTCCTCCACATTTCCAAGGTGCCCACATCCACCGTGCGTCTTGCGTCAAGCATGCTAATGCAAGCCTCACCAATTCCTCCTCTCCAGATGCCCAAGTGCTGTCTCTCGGTGGACGATACTGTGTAACTGTACCCGTCTCTTCCGGCACTCCTCCTCGCTCATATTCGTCACAACGCTATCTTATACGGTACTCTTACTTTGCCTTACATCCATCTTCCTTGGATCGTCGTCAACCGCCCCCCTCTCTCCGATTAGTAACCGGAAGACAAGTTGAGCAAACTGGCAAGTTGACAGTTCGACATTCCAAAACAGAAGAAGAAGAAGAAGAAGAAGAAGAAGAAGAGAACACTCTAACTTTGAGCCGGCTTGCTTGTTGCCCTTCTATTCATCAATCCTCCAGCCTGTCTCACAGTCCGATCGAACGACTCGGTTGCCTTGTCCCACCCTGACCCTAGTGTAGTGTCATTTGGATCCGCGACGGGAGCTCCCACGCCCACGCCCACGCCCGCGTCCCCCTCTCACTCAGTCGCTGAACTCAACTTTGTTACCAACCTCGTCCTGTCATTTTTCTTTTTGTCAAAGCCCCCCGCGCAAGTAGTGCGCGAGTCTGGGACAGCTCCCAAACCTCCGCACTCCGCCCTCCCCTCTGACGACTACGGATACCTTGTGCAGTAAACTGCTGTCACACATCATATTTCGTGGCCCCCCTCCCCAGGAGTAGCTGTTGCGGGTCCTCCTCGATCCATTCTTTTCCCTCCCGTCGATTTGGTCTCGTCCGCCTTTTCTCACATCTCAACCGCAGACACATCGGGAAACATAGAGTCGCCTGTCCTTTCTCAATACGACTCTCCACCTGCGTCTGCCCCATTTCTCTGTCGCGGAGTTGAGCACTCGGGGCTTGCATGGCAATCCACGACCTCTCTTGCCTCTCGTGATGGGCTGTACGTATCAACAGCATCGTCCACCCTTGGTTCACCCAAAGATATCCATCACTTCCAATCATCATTCTGCGTCTTGGTTTCTCGAAGAGGGCAAGGCCGTGTCTTCTAGGCCCCCATTGCGAGAATGGTCTATTGTGGGAAGGCCTCTCAGGGCTGTCAGAACTGCCGAATTCGTCGTATCAAGGTGTGTACCATTACGCCCACAATGCACTAAACGTTATGTTGGAGCAAGTTGCCGCGCCGCTGCTCTACCTAGCACTGTCTCTTCTTCCAGTTTTTTTTATTTTTTATTTTTACCTCGCCAACGAGTTAAAGCTGAATTTTAGTTGACAATGTTCTTATTTGTAGTGCGACAAGGTGAATCCTGAGTGCTCACAATGCATCCGCGTTGGCAAGAAATGCCCTGGCTATCGAGACCAACTCTCACTGATGTTCCGCGATGAGAGCACCAAAGTCATCAAGAAAGCTCACGCCCAATGGGGTGTGTCTGACGGACCTGATAACGAGCAGATACAGGCTTCTGCGTCGAATGCCCCTTCGCCGCCTGCTTCTTCTCCAGTTTACAGCCAAAGGAGTACGCCAAACAGCACGAGGACCGCATCACGATCGAATGTTGCAGCCGCGCTTTTGCCATTGCCAATACCAAATACCGCACCCTTCGCCCCGCCACCTTTATCAAGCAGCCGTTCTTCAGGTTCTACGTCTCCGCCAGTGCTACCAGTCATCAAACAAGAAATCCGCGAGTCGACCCCGCCAACTCTGCACATCGGCCCCACCCTCGAGGAGCAAGGCATACAGTTTTACGTCAACCGCTATTTGATCGGACACCCGGATGAACCAAAGTCGGGACAGGACCTGGCTACACAAGGTTGGGTATGGCACCCAGCAGTGCAGGACGTTATGTGCGCTGTAGGGCTTGCCGGGCTGTACAACTTGACTGGCAATGTGGAAATGATGGCTACTGCGCGAGAGAAATACGGCTCGGCTCTTCGACAAACCGGAAAGCTCATCCGACCTCCGCATACTCCCAGCATAGATGTAACAATGAGATCCGTTGTCGCACTTGCCATGTTCGAGGTCGGTTACTGCCTTCCCGTGACCTCTCAACTACTCATGGTCACCGTTGCTGTTACGCCTGACAACTAACCTGAGCCACTGGCTGTCTAGGTTGTCAAAGGGACTCATCACTCCACTAACACCGTTCACGCCCACGTTATGGGCGGAGCGGCTCTGATGAGAAGCTGGTGCCCGATGCCCAGTGTGCCTTTTGCGGGTTTCAGGGCATTGCTCCAGTTGTGCTACTCAATGGTAAGATACGCCTTGCACTCTTTAATCTCCCGGGTCTAGCTCATTCTGTAGTTTATACCTCTTCACGTTGCGGGCATGCCGATGCCCCCGGATTTTTACGACTGGGTATCGTACGGCTCACAGCTACAAATCCCTATTGATCGACCATCCACAGACTTGGCAGTTCTCATCGCTCGCTTTGTCGAAATCTCGTCGATGATTCACAGCCATGTCATTAGTGACGGAAAACCAAAAACAGTCAACGTACTTCAGCAGCTACTGGATCTCGACTCCGACCTGGCATCATGGGAGAATGCCCTGGAAGGAGCCTGGCTATACGAAACTATCCACGCCACTCACCTGCCCCCCAAAGCGGTTTTTAAGGGTGAATACCATAAGTATCACGACGTCTGGACCGCCCGCATCTGGAACTACTACCGCTGGGCGCGAGTTCTGGTGAACCAGAACGTGCTGGACTTGGCGAACAAGAACCCAATCTCCAGTCTTTCACTTGTATCGGCTGCCGCACGTGACAACTTCCTCGCGAATATTCGAAGACTGGCAAGAGACACGCTTGTAAGTGCGCCGACCCATTGGCGACACCCGTCCCTCGACGGGCAGGCGCAGATAAAAGTTGAAAGTCCCGGCGGAGGTGGATCCGGATCAGCAGGACTGCCGGCATTGCTGTTTCATTTAAAGGTGGCTGGCTGCGCTCCTGGAGTTCCCAGGGAATATTGGGAGTGGGCTTTGGGCGTCATACAGACAATCTGGGGTGACATGGGTATGCTACATGCGCGATCCATGATGGAGGCCATGCGGGCGCACGAAGACACGGTGCTCAGATCTAGCGCGGCAGGAATACTGGCGGATGACTGGTAAGAATTGGAAGAAAGGATCAATGGAAAAGCAGGCGCATTCGGCATGCGCATTTGGACTGGAAAGGTTCCGTGATGGACCAAGGTCCCGGTGTACCGGAGTAGCAGCAGCAACAGCAACTAGGTTATGGCTGTGTGATACCATCGTTTCCAGCGGCTTTAGAAATGCATTGAAATCAGGTTGGACGGAGAAAATTGGGATAAGGCAATATGGCGATAAAATTCAATGTAGGCACAGCCAACCTTGTATAACGATGAAGGACTCCTGTACAACTCACAAAAATGTTTAATTCAAACTCGACCACGGGAGTCAATGGCGTTTAAAGCAAACCATGTGACTTGACTGAGCGGTATATCCTAGTCCTTCGGATGTCATTCTGTTCTTTTCTGCTGTTTTCTCAAGGTTACGACCTATTTTTCATATGTTGGCGAATTCAATGCTGGTATTACATAGCAACGGAAGGTGGGATGTCAAAACAGTGCGTAGTATAGATACATCGGTACCTCATACGGTACGTATGTTCCGTGAATGGGCCTATAGGCTTTCTTTCAGCTGTGGAGACCGGCGACTTCTACGCGTGACTCTAGCCACGGTCCTCCACCCACCAGATGAAGGCAACAGGACGATACTCGACTACCACGCTCGACCAGGGCTCGGCGTATCGCAAACTATTATCATACATCTCCGATGACATATCTCAATCGCGGCTCAAACCTTCTGTCATGAAGTGACACCCTGTCAGACCGAGATCAACCGCCGGACTTCGACGGCCTGCGCGTCTCCTGTCACTGCAGTGGCCCTTCGCCACATACCCCTTCTCTTGCCATCGACATTACTTACCACCGCTGCGTAAACAAGGGTAGTCACTAAACTGCTGAGTTCGTTGGGTGTAACATACCATAGGCACTATGGCAACCGTCTCGGATTCCAAAAAGAGTAACGCGCTTTATCTCTTGCTTCACGCTGGCATAGGTCTGCATTCACTAATTCGCGGATGCGCATACAGATGATGAGCAGACGATCAAGGTCGCATCGAAGAAGGATCCCAAGAATAAACCTGATGGTCCCATAAAGCTAAAGAAACCCGCCCCGAAATACAACAAGCCTGGAAACTGGAGAGAAGGGAGTATTGTTGAAGGTAAGGTCTCAACAATTGCATATGGTATACTATGTGCCCTCCTGTGGACTAACGGTTGCGCCGCCACACCAGAAGACAAGAAGTCGAAAAAAGACGGTTCCCCAACGATTTCTGTCGCCTCCCCTGGGCCGGTGGTAAACCCACTCGATGACAGCGCCCGCGAAGCCTTCGCGACAGGTAGACCGCTCGAGGACACACCCGATCTGCAGCAATGCAAGCACTGCAAGAAGAGCATTCTTAAGACGGCTGCCAAAGCCCACATCGCGCAGTGTCTCAAGTTAAAAAAGGAGAAGGCTCAGCGCAAGAAAGAGGCGAGAGAAGCACGTGAAAGGGCCAAAGAGGCTGCACGAGAAGAAGAGGCCAGGAAAGCAGACGAAGATGCCGACGGCAAGGGCGAAGACGATAGTGAAGTTGATGAAGATGGGGCCGAAAAAAAAGCTGTTGGCAGCAAGACCACGAAAAAGGCCGCTGGCAAGAAGACCGATGGTGACACTGGAAAGGGCAAGAAGCGCAAGGCAGATGGAGATGCCGAGAAAGGACCCAAGCAGAAGAAGAAGAAGGAAGAGCCCAAGCCAAAAGCTCCTAAACCAAAAGGTAGGAGATACAGGCACGCCGATGTGACAAGTTATTGTATGCTGACCAAGTTGCAGGCCCCGTCGATGTCGAACGGCAATGCGGTGTCCTGTTACCCAATGGACAGCCATGCGCGAGATCACTCACGTGTAAGAGTCATAGCATGGGGGCAAAACGTGCCGTCGCGGGACGGTCTCTACCGTACGATATGCTTTTGGCGGCGTATCAGAAGAAGAATCAGGCTAAACAGCAAAGTACGTTGTGCACCACAGCGCCTCAAAAACCAGCCCAATTACTAACATCGCTTCTACAGAGGCTGCTCTCGATGCCAACGCTCCACTGGAAGACGAAGACGAGGCCAACGCCGGACCGGTCGACTCGGATGAGGAGACGGCCGCTGTCATGAGTGCATTGGCGCATTGGAAACCGCAGCCCGTGGTACCACAACCACTCCTTAACCCGATCAAAAGGCAGTACCAGCTTGCACGTCTACATGAGCAGCTGCAGATGGCGACTAACGGCGGCCGAACAAACATTTTCAAAGTGAACGGTTTCGGTGCGCAGAGGCTGCCTCTCGGCCACCCAGGCTTCATGGACACAGAAGACGCACCGGGAGAGCCTGACACGGCGGATGTGAACTTTGGAGGTGTTCGCAGATCCTCAAGCTTCAGCATGCAAAGCCAGCCGCCACAACGAAGGCCATCCGTGACAAGCAGAGCCTGATACAGCGCGCCTCAGGTTATAAGAGGGACCACGAGCGTGAATTGACGAAACAACAGTTTGAAGGGTATGAGGAGGCCCACGGTCTCGTGCATTTAGAAGGAAAGGGAGAGCGGGAGGCAGGCGTCATAGGGGGCTATTCTTTTTCGCCCCTTCCTCGCCGGCGGTATACCAACTGATTGCGATAGGAATTATGGAGGCAGCGGCGTTTGGTGATTGCATTTTTAGCTCTCAGTTGCTGGGAATAAGGTATGGTTGAGGAAAGCGAAAGTTTTTAACCGATATGGGCTTCAGATGTAGCCGTCAGGATCGCTAGGTGCCTTACAGCAGACGGGCACCTAGGGGTCGTGTAGACCTTGTCAACATTGAAAAGGCAGCTAGTGAAGACATATAATCCTGGCCGTGTGGAATTGACATGTGGACGCAGACCGCCAGCATCTTGTTCATATGCTTGAGACTACCGACCCGAGTAGGTAGTAAAGCCACAAAGCTATCAGGTGAGCAGGTGGATCGCCCCCTCCCAAAGCTCAGCCCCGGCTGCGGGCCAGCGCAGTCTGAAGCACGCTACGATGACGACATTGCATTTTTACCCCGGATTTTGTGCAATGATGACCATCAGCCAGCCCGGCTGCCGACCACCGCCCGAACTAGCTGACCTCGGCACGATATACTCATTCCCTCCTCTCGCAATCGCCGCCTTCGCGGCTCTTGTCGACTGCCGTTGCTCTTGTCACATGTCACCTGGTCCATCCTGCACAGCGAGCGCGCTACTTTGCATTGCAATACAATAATCGTCGAGTGGGTTTAATTCAATCGCTGTGTTTGTTTGTCTCGTTGGATCCCCTCGTCTCTGTGTGGACTGCACTTTCGGCTCCTTGCACCACAGCCCTTGTTGCTAATTGCCAGTCGGACCCAATACATTCTGTCCCAAGACCCCTCGAAGGGTTATTCTCCCCACACAATCTTCACGATGGCACCTGTCGGTGTTCTTGAGGCCCTGGGCCACGCCCTCGCTGGTGCGACCGGCACAGCCTTGTCGACGGCTGCAGTCTATCCCCTCGACCTCGTTACCACACGCCTCAAGGTCCAGCGCCATTTACGGAGGGAAAATGCCATTTCTGAGAAGGACCAGTATCGCGGCGTCTTCCATGCGCTCAAGGTCATTTCCTCGCAGGAAGGCGGCATATCGAGCCTTTACACGGGCATCGCTCAGGACGTGTTCAAGTCCATCGCGGATTCGTTTCTCTTCTTCCTCTTTTACCAGTACTTTCGGGATGCTCGTCGTCGTTCACGCGGCAGGAGGTTACCTGTCATGGACGAGCTGGCTATCGGCGCATTGGCCGGCGCCTGCGCGCGAGGTTGCACGACGCCTATCGCCAACGTCGTGGCGAGGAAGCAAACATCAGCCATGTTCGAAGCCAATACGGATGACGAGAACGCGTCTGTTTGGAAGATTCTTTCTTCTATTGGCGCCGAAAACGGCATAGCTGGGCTATGGGCCGGGTATTCCGCCTCCTTGCTGCTAACCATCAATCCGAGCATTACATTTTTTCTGAACGAACAGCTAGGGAAGACCCTTCTCCCGGATTCAGACGAGACCTCGCACAGCACACAAACCACTTTTCTTCTGGCTGCCGCCAGCAAATCTATCGCAACCATCATCAGCTATCCCCTGCAAACTGCCAAGGCTAGGCTTCAGATGCGCGGGTCCGGCAACGCTTCGCCGCATAGGAGCACCAGTAATTCGGACACACCCTCCATTTCGGAATCCAGGAAGGGACCACAAAGTCCAATTTCCGTTAACGAGATGAGCGGCGCTCTGAGTGGACTCAAGAAGCTGGTCGACGATAGCGTCATCGCCATCGTACTATCCATTGCGAGGACTGAGGGAATATTGGCGTTATATGCTGGTATCCAGGGTGAAGTGCTCAAGAGCTTCTTTAGCCACGGGCTGACCATGGTGTCAAAAGGCATTATCCACAAATTTGTCATTCGTCTGGGCATATTGCTGTTGTCCTTGTCACAGGGGCAGTCGCGCAGGGTTAAGTTGCAACGTCTCCGTCAGGCATTTCTTAGACTTCGATGAAGAAGATACTGCCCAGCACTTGTTACGCTGGATGCCCGCTGCCTCACCTCACCACTATGCAACTCTGTGGACAAATACGTATTGGCTAGGTGGGGCAGCAAGACTCAGCACTGAAAGGCAACACCGCTTTTCTCAACCTTACTTGCGCCCCTTGCGGAAAACCCTGTACCCTCTGATCTGAGCTCGATCAGTCCGGCGAACTCCTGTTTGCGCTGCTTATGCTTGCCATCCGAGGGGCTCGCCGTCAGGCGGGCATCGCAAACGTAGCAAGTGTTTTCTTGAGGCAGAACGTCGCTGCCTTTGACAGGAGCCATGAACTTGGCAGCACAGTTTCGGCAGATGACATGGCCGCATTTCTCGGCCAGCAGAGGCCGTGATGCGTTACCAAGCGTCTTTACGCACGAGGGACATATACGCCTGTTGCTGTTCGTCTTGGAATCGGGCTCTTCTTTGAAGTTGAGAGTGATCAGGGATTTCAGGGAGTAGGGATGCTGCAAACTGTTGGGCGAAGCCGGACAAATGGGCGCAAGCTTGATGTTCTTAGGAAGAGCTTCCACGCCTGCCACTTTGCGAGCCGCTTCGGCACCAGGCGTTTGCGACGGTGTCCAGAAAGAAGGCAATTTTTCCTTGGGTGCCTGGAAGAGAGTTAGCGTCGTTGTTATCTCGCACAGCAGCCCTTTGGCAAATCCGACCGAACCTTTTCCTCATTAATAAACTTCTGTGCCTTGGCGCGATCTTCCTTTGCGATTCTTTCTAGCTCGTCTTGGTCCAAAATGAACTTTCTCTTGGTGACCTGCATCGCCGTAGATTTGGCGTCAGTTCTTGGTCCGCCATCATCTTTTGACGCTAGACCAGACGAAGACGATACCGGTGCAGATGATGACGGGCTAATCCCCGCCTGAGTCTTTTCGAATTCCTTTATGGCGCGCTCTTGAGCTTCAACGTCTTGACGGGCCTGGGCTTCCAGCATCTCTTGCTCCGCCTTCTCCCGCGCTCGCACCAAGCGCTTGATCTCCTTCTTTTGCGCCAGGAGGTTAGCCACCGCACACTCACGACAAAATATGTCACCATGACTGCACGAAACAGGGTCTCTTGCGATCTCTAGGCAGAGGTAGCAAGAACCAAACGGGAGGAAGGAGTCACGAGACAAGCGTGCCGAGGTTGATGCCCATGCAGCCTTGGCCATATCACGCTCGTAGGAGGTGAAGACGCTGCGTGACGTATTTCGTTTGCCTGAGACTCGTTAGATTGATGTACACGAGTTTCCTGGAATTTTGAGCCTACTGTGTGCCATGGCTGTCGTGGTTCAGGTTGTGGACAACCAACTCTTCTTTGAAATTTGATTTATGGTGCAAACCAATTGATGATAGTAGTTCTGAAAATCGGATTCTCAAAGATCAATCTCGGTCTCCTGATTGATAGCTGTACATTTCGACAAGCAGGTGTGAGATGAACGAAGTCCCTTAGGTATGGGAAGATTGCGAGCAAGGAGAGTTAGGGAGGTACCTCCGCGCTTGAAGTAAACCGGAAAGCGGCCCCAGAGCGACAAGGGTGAGACATCCTGTCCCATGCACTCCAGCGAATATGCATTTAATGTATACTGATTACACCCTTAGGGAAATAGCCATTATAGAGTGATCCACCGGTTTGTTGAGACGCCATGGAAGCATTTTTCTATCTTCGGGTTATGTTTCCATCGACAAACCCTTCAGAAAGCCAGTGGCTTCTGCCATAATCCGCTTGTTGTTACTGCACGGCGCTTGAAATATTTAGATGCTTTTTCTGTCACAAGAAATTTGCATTTTGTCATTGGTCTGAAGTGGTGGGCTTCATGACGCGGTCCGGCGGTCCAATCGCCTAGTCTATCACTGTCACTCGGTTTTCCTCTCTCCCTTTCACTCATTTCAGCAGCCCGCATAGAACAACGAGCCTGCCTTTCACTCAAAACAAAAATGACCGCCTCGGAAGCACGGCCAGATCAACCGAGTTTGCCATGGCGGATAGCATCAGCGGCCATCATGGGCCTTACAGGCGCTATTTCACGGGCTTTTCTGCATGGCCTCAACGACGTTCAAACAGAAGGCCTTCCTCAGTTTCTCGATCTGTTGGACAAGCGTCGGCCTGGGGCTCCTGAGCGTGGTCTTATCACCGGTACGGCTGCGAACTCTCGTTTCTCTTGAAGTATACCAGTACCAAAAGAAGCCATCGCTGACCACCTCTCTTGCCAATCGCAGTCTCGAACCATATCAGTGTGTGAGTTTCCTTCATCATGCTATATTTCTCCTTCGCGTATGTGTCTAGCTAATGCATCTCGGGCACACAGGCTAGACGATCCCCTCATATGGGGTGCTTTACCGCTTAAGTATAACTTTGCGCCGTTGAGCGCTCGATGGGGCCTCGGTGCTCATGACATTTGCTTCAAGAATGGGTATTTGACATTCCCTCATACCTCCAGACGTTGGACCAACTACACCTCCCTAACACTAGTCCAGCCTTTTCAAGTCATTCTTCAGCCTAGGTCAGGTCTTGCCGACATATCGTATGCTCCATTCACCCTACGGCGGTCTATTTCAACCGACAATGACCGAGGCGATCCGCCTCGTCTCCGGCCCTGGAGCCCTGTTCCCCTTGAAAAAGGCCTTCAGTGCCGGCAATAACGAGACTTTCGTGTCGCCGGTACATTACAGGAACAACCATAACGCATGGGTGCATGTGTTTCCTGAGGGATGTGTACATCAGCATCCGCAGCGGTCTCTCCGGTACTTCAAGTGGGGTATCTCCCGTTTAATCCTCGAATCCGACCCGGCTCCGCAGCTCGTTCCTATCTTCATCGACGGGCTCTCAGACATCATGCCAGAGAACAGGCAATGGCCGCGGTGGGCCCCACGCATCGGCGCCAAGATCCGCATTATTTACGGCGAGGCCCTGGAAGTGGGCGAGGCCTTTAGGGAGCAGCGGTCGAGGTGGAAGCGCTTGGTAGAGAAAGAGGAAGAAGCTTTGGGCAAGCGGCTGAACGTTGGCGAAGTGCCCGAATCACTCAAAAACCACCCTGAAGCCATCCAGCTACGGATAGAGGTCGCAAAGACTGTGAGGGACATGGTCCAGAGATTGAGATTGCGGGCGGGCTATCCTCACGATGATCCTGCGTATGCTCTCGCTGAGACATGGGAGCGCGACCCCAAGGGCAAGCAGTTTAAGAGCCCCGTGGACGACAGTCTGGTTCACAGAGAGTAACAAGGCGACTTTTCTCTCTCTATTTTATTCGTTGAGAAATTCATGTTAGATGGCTCCTCGCATAGACTGAGTGTCACATGTACATCTACTTCTACATTTTGTAAATCACCACATAGATCCATAGCATGGACTTTAAAATGCATTCATTACTACTTCTTTACGCTGATGGCGGAAAGTATAGTCATCTGATAGTCAATTCCGGTTCCACACCCAGCCCTAACCAATCGCAGTTTACAGGAACTCCCGAAATGCGCCCTGCCAAGTTTGCTGATGATGTCGTATACTTCATCGTCATGTTCTTATTCCTTGCTGTTGGTACGGATCATGCATCCTCATAACCATTTATACCGCCGGAAACCCCAAGACTGGATGACCGCCAAATCGTAAGTCGAAACAGCTTCTCTTGGAAGGTCAGTATGTCTCGTAAGACCCCTGTCCCGGGTAGGCTCTAGCTTGTGCTTGCAAAGCTTGCTGCTGATGCTGCTGCATGACGATATCGTTGAACCAAGGATGCTTGAGGGCTTCATGGGCGCTGATACGTAGTTCAGGGCGTAGCTGGAGCATCCGCTGAAGAAGGTCGATACCCGTCGGATCGATTTGGGGAAGAATCTGACGAAGATCCTGGGTGGCGTACATCTGGAACGTCGGCTTGTACTCGGGAAATTGGGTAACACCGGTCCAAGTGCGCTCGGTGGGTGTTCCCATGATACGAAAAATTCTGATAATTTGATCTTCATTCGTTGTGCCGGGGAACAACGGCCTGCCGGTGTACATCTCCGCCATGATACATCCTGCAGACCAGATATCGATGCTTGTGTTGTACGTCCTGCTTCCCAAGAGGACGTCGGGCGCACGATACCATAGCGTGACGACCTCATTGGAGAAGGTATTCACGGGAATGCCGAAGGCACGGGCCAGCCCGAAATCGCCAAGCTTGAGCTGTCCCTTGCCGTTAATGAGGAGATTCTGAGGCTTCAGATCTCGATGCAAAACCCTGTTCTGGTGGCAAAAGTCGATGCCTCTCAGGAGTTGGTACATGAATGACTTGATCTGGTGTGGCTTTAAGGCACCTCTGTCGCCATGGGTGTCCATATACTTCTTCAGATCACCATCCATATATTCGAAGACCAACATCAACTTGTTCTCGGTATGGATGACATCGTGGAGTGCGACAATGTTCTCGTGCTTGAGCTCCTTCATAAGTGAGATTTCTCGAATCGCAGTCGAGGGTGTGCCTTCTTCTGAGTCTAGGTGGATTTCTTTGAGTGCAACGAGCTCTCCCGTTTGCCGGTTTCGACCTTTGAAGACCTGCAAGTTGACGGTTAGCTACCAGGAAGGAGAATGTTGGGCAAGAGAGGAAAATGTACAGTTGCATATGTGCCTTCGCCGAGTTTCTCAAGCTGCTGAAACGAGCTCGGATGCCTTTTACCGTCCATGTCTGTTGTTGGATATGGGGGACGCTGTCGGCAGGTTGGAGTTAGTACTCGTCGTCTATGTCTCTATAAAGCAAGCTGATTCCTCTTCGACCAAGAGGAAGAAAGGGTATGTCGACGAGACGTATCGTGGGACGAAGCGCTGTGGCGATAGGGCGGTGACGAAAAGTCAAGACTGTGAATATTTTCCTAGGTAGTTCAATGGTTCGCGTCGGCGGATTGAATGATCAAGCGACAAGGCAGAGTGGCGGGAGATGCGGGTGAGGCGAGCGATTCAGCGTTCAACGTGGGATGGACGCAAATGGTGCGAATGCGGCGTGGGCTGGTTGGGTTGTACCTATGTCGGTTCGTAGGTAGGCACAACCATGCGGTTTACGTATGGGTACGTACCTTGGGGATTGATGTATCTATGCCTAAGTCAGACTGGCAAGTACATATTAGAAAGTGGGCGGAACGGGAGATTGTAGGTACATTTTCTTCACTAGATTGAGAGCAGTACTTTGTTGGTAAGGGAAGGCGCTGCTGCTAATTGAATAAATAAATAAAACGAAGGAAGGAGAACCGGTGTCAGGGAGGAGGGGCACCTTGGGTTGGAGGATTCTAGCCAGGTTCTCCAATCGCTGGGTGTGAAGGGACAACAGTCCAATGGGGGCATCTCAATGGGCCACCACCCAAGCCTACTAGTCTGGACTAGGGCACTGAGCGTCTAAAGTCCCCTACCTATGTAGGTAGTTAGCTTACTACAGTCTACAGGTAGGCAGGTATCTACCTAGGCAGTAGGTATATCCCCTCACGGCCCCCAAGTCCCCACTCACACCCCGCACTAGTACGGAAATGGTCACACGCTGCTGCCACTGGACCTCTTATCACCTTACCTTCCTGACCTCCCAGGAACCTTATCGCTAGCCCCCGCCATCTCTAGCGCCAACAGCATCACCGACTCGCCCACCGCGGCCTCACATCCACGCCAATCCCAACTGCATGCAAGGTGTCCGCTCGAATATCTGTCCGTCCTACCTCTACCTACCTATGTCAAACACTTCTCACAGCACGATCTTCTTCGCCGCTTTAACTTTCCACGAACTGATGATATCCTCCTTACGATATGCGACCTCTACCTGGTAGCAATGCGTTCGCAGGGAACGCTTCCTCGAGTGATGGAGCCTCGGACTGCTTCGCTTCTGCTTCACAGTCTACCGCCACGCAGATGTCTTTCATCCTCACCAACGAATCCACCATAGATTCCTCACTGACAACGCCGTGTTCTCTCGCTCCCCGAGTGCGCGACCAGCGGAAACATATCGCTCACACCATGCTTGGCGACATCTCCACCCCAAACCGTGAACTCAGTACTGCTCCACCTCCTACTGTCCCTCGTTCCACCTCCACATTGCCATCCCGTGATGCCTCGGCTCATCGATCAGTCCCTACAGCAAACGTGTCGCCGGGTATTTCTCAGACACCTCCGCCGCTACTTACATCTCAACCCATGACACCGATATTATACGGCGTATCTGGATCTTGTTCGGCTATCAGCAGCTCTTCATCTCGGCGCAATTCCTTGACTGGGTCATTGTCCGAATACCAGGAAAGCTTCGTCATGAGCGCATTTGGAGCCTCAGACCATGGCAAACCTCAGAGTGCCTACAGCGGCGAAGCTGCCCAGCAGTTTATTATGCCTACTATCAACGTTCCCAGCCGGAGACCCTTCACAGAAACCGGGAAAAGCCTTGGAAGGCTCAAAATCCTCTTGGCTGGCAGGTCAGGTACGAGCGACTGGTTGATTATTGCACCCGGATGTATCACTAATCAGATGTGATCTTTCAGGCCTAGGGAAAACCGCCTTGATCCGAGCGATAACCCAATCATGCTCTCACATTGTTCACGTCGATCCTACCATGCCGGTTGCGATGGCGTCCGCAGGCTTGCTACCGGCAAATACGCTACCCAATGATCCTCCTATTGTCCAGGGCACTTTCCAGATAACTGAGACCTTTGCCAGCACCAAGCCGTACCCACCTTGGTGGAAGGAATCGGTGCAAACAAGTTGTGTATCTGGCACTGGCAGTGTCGATGACACAATACTAGAAAGAAACATATGCCTGGTGGATACACCGGGCTACCAGGAAACATGCCGAGTACGCTATACAGATCGCCCCTAACATGTTGACGCTGACAAGAGTAGCCCGTGGATACCGTCGGTCAGGTTTCACAATACGTTGAATCTCATCTTCAGAAGAACCGCCTTGACGGTCTGGAGGATCCAGATGTCTTGAAAACAATTGGTGGAAGTGGCGGCTTACTTGTCGATGCCGTGCTCTACACAATACCAAGCTCAGGTCAGACTTGCCCCCCTTTCTTTCTAGGAACAGCTGCTGAAGCAGACTAAAGGCCTAACGCCAACGGACTTTCAATATATTCGTCAGTTGGATTCCCTTACGAATGTGATACCACTTCTCGCTCATGCTGATACCTTAACGCCGGAGCAAATCAAATCAAGCAAAGGGCACATCACTCAACAACTAGCTGAGGCAGGTCTCAGATTGTTCACTTTTGCTCCCACGACACCCAACGCGCAAGCACCAGATATATACGCCATATCGAGCGAGTTGGGGTCAGACCACGACGTTATGGACGCGAGTCTGCTCATGAGCTCTGAGTACGTGCAACCTCTTGTGATGACCGACCTTCCACGTTTGTTGGAACGTATATTCAGCGTAGACGGTGCAACATGGCTCCGTCATGCCGCTGCAACAAAGCTCTTGGGCTGGCGCCTTCGCCGTCCCAAGACCAGCAACAGTTCTGCAGGCCTTTCTCTGCAGACGGATGGATGTACGGAGAGGCGATTACTTCGCACCCGGACAGGGCCTTTGACACCGCTCACCATGAGCTGCGTGCCAAACTATGCTCGTTACGAGGAGAGGTTCTGCCGAGTACAGCTCAGTGACTGGGCAGCCGATCTGCAACGCAGCTTAGCCAATGAGAGGGCGATTCGGGAGAGGAGGGCGCGGGAACAGGCGGATATTTGGGTGAGGGAATCATGTCGGGATAGGCGTTCCGCCCCGGGCGTCAATGGCGGTACGGCTATGGCGTTGACGCTGACCCGGGGAGGGAGAGACCTTAGACGCTCTATTGGTAGTAGGAGGCACAGCACAGGCTCGGATCAAAACTGGGCGTTAGTGCGACGTCAGGACCCCTTAGGCTTGCTGCAGCTCAAGGCCGATTTCAAGTGGCAGAGCTGGAATACCTTGGAGATGGTTGGCGGTCTTGGGCTTATTGGGGGCCTAGCGTGGCTTTTCGTCTAAAGGGCCCGCGTTAATTACAGCTTGTTTGACTTGAGTGAGAGATTGGGTTACAAAGTGGTAAGGCAGCACCGACTCGGTACGGCACACTTGGAAACATTCAATGGTGTGTCGAATGGCCGATGCAGCAACCGTCTTTGATAGGATAACCAATACTCTGGATTTGGGTGTTTCTGCCCACTGCTAGTACTGTTGGTTGAGTCCGGGGTGTAGTAAATGGAGTTGAGGGGCAAAATAGCATAAACTTACGTCCAGCGACTAGCGACTCCATCATCATTATGCATGCTGCCCTGAGTGTTTGGCCTGCTCGCCACCCAACTCATTTTGCTTGTCTTCGTCTAATTTATACGGATACCGTGGAGCTAAATATGACCAAAAGCCAAGTAAAGTGCAGCGAAGGAACTGTCTGGGTTGTCAGGCCAAAAACACAAAATTAACGCAGCAAACTCGACGAGTGGTAGATTTGTAAATCCTCAGGCTGCATCTGTTCCTCCCACACGCTTGCATCGCTTTCTCAAGGTGATATTCTATCACAGGTCTGCACGGATCCGACCTGTGGGATGGTTGCAACCCATGGCCCCGCTAGTCGCAAAGCAATGCTCTCTGATTGGCTGAAATGTTAAATGAGATTGCCTTAGTGCCCTGTCTTGCCTGCGTCTCCTACTGCAACTACCTACTTACCTAGTATCGCGCCTCACCCCTACCTCTGAGCCTCGCGTCCTAGCCGGAGGTAAAGTGCCAGGCTCTATCTAGTACTTCTTCGGCTTGAGCTCAGACACGGTACCGCAGCGGCGCCTGCATTCGACTTGTTTGCTTGTTGAGAGCAGCCTTCCTCCATTTCGACAGCTTTCACCTCCCACTTCCCGATCCTTTCGCTTCGGACCTACCTTCATCACCTGGTCAGGTGAACGCGCCGCCCAAACGCCCTTTTCCCGCCAGCTGGATCATTCCTCGCAGATTCCCTCTTGGGTCAGCCCCCATCCCGAAGCAATCGCCTATCATGACCGGCGAGGAAAGACCGCTGGGCGTGACACCGCCTATCTCATTGGCTCTCCCCACTGAAGCAGAAAACCATGCGATGCAAACCCTCATCGACGAGCTTCGAAGGCAGAACACGTTCGAGAGCCCCACAGACACTGAAAAGAGGCAAGCACTATCGTTCAACCCACGTACATCATCAGTACGGTGCTCTTCATGCTGACCATTTTGTCGATGGACTACAGGGAAACGGTTCTCGAGCATCTTGCACGGATTTGCGACGAATTCGTCAAACGCGTGGCCCGAAAGCGGGAGGAAGGCAACGATGCCCTCATCAGAGATGCCAGGGGCAAGATCTTCACCTATGGTAGCTACCGCTTGGGCGTGTATGGTCCTGGCTCCGATATCGATACCCTCGTTGTCGCCCCAAAGTATGTCACCCGCGCCGACTACTTCGAAATCTTTCCGGACCTACTCAAAGAAATGGCCCCTCCTGGCGCCATTACAGACATGGCCGTTGTTGCCGACGCTTTTGTGCCCATCATCAAATTCGAGTTTTCCGGTATTAGCATTGATTTAATCTTCTCTCGCATTGCCATGCTTAAGCAACTGCCCAAGGACTTTAACGTCCAGGATTCCGGCCTGTTACGGGGCCTTGACGAAGCAGAGTTGCGATCCCTCAATGGTACTCGGGTGACGGACGAGATCCTGAGCTTGGTTCCCGAGCAAGCCACCTTCAAGCTGGCTTTGCGCGCTATCAAACTTTGGGCACAACGACGTGCTATTTATGCCAACATCATGGGATTCCCCGGAGGCGTGGCATGGGCCATGTTAGTTGCCCGTGTCTGCCAATTGTATCCGAAAGCTGCAAGCTCCGTCATTGTCAATAAATTTTTCCACATCATGCGCCGCTGGCCGTGGCCGCAACCGGTGCTTCTTAAGCATGTCGAGGGTGGTCCTCTCCAGGTCCGCGTTTGGAATCCCAAGGTTGGTTCTTACCACGTCCTCGGCCATGATCCCAGCCCTGGCCCTCTTGGTCTTTCTGCTAACCTAGCTACAGCTGTACAAAGGAGATCAATTTCATCTCATGCCCGTCATTACCCCCGCATATCCCTCTATGTGTGCCACGTACAATATCACGCGATCAGCTATGACGGTCATCCAACAAGAGCTCCAAAGAGGATGCGACATTACAGACGCCATCATGTTGGGCAGGAGCCCATGGAGTGACCTGTTCGTTAAACACACTTTTTTCACACAGGGCTACAAGTATTACATCTCTGTCATCACTTCTAGCACTGATAAGGAAGCCCACAAGGTCTGGTCGGGCTATGTGGAATCCAAGGTGCGTGTCTTGGTTCAAGGTCTGGAGCAGCATCAATCAATAGCGCTGGCCCATGCGTTCAACAAGGGCTACGAACGCCGACACAGGTGTAAGAACGAGGAAGAAGTTCACCAAGTCCAGGCTGGGAACATGTCCTTCCTGGTCAGAGATGACGAGGATCATGACACAAGTCCGGCGAAGGATAAGATCGAGACGAAAGCAGAACTAAGCAGCATCCCCGGGTTGAAGCCGGACCCGGACCCTGTTCCTACACTCAAAACTGAGCCCTCAGACACGATAACAGAGGTTAAGGAGGAGGGCGGTTCGTCTGCCACCATGCAAGAGACTCCATTCGCCCCTGTTGTAAAGACGGAACTGGGGAACAAAACGGCCCCACCAATCGAGGTGTTTACCACCACGCACTACATAGGGCTGACGCTCAGCGAAGGTAGGTTTTCGCTGACAATACTGTGTTCTATGGTCGGCCGTTCTGGCTATCTCTGGCGCGGCCTATGTTGGGAACAAAGCTGACTCAACAGGCGCGAAATCGCTCGACTTGTCATATCAAGTTGAAAACTTTAAGACGCTGTGTACAACATGGGAAAAGTACGAGTCCACGTTGAACTGCTTAGCTGTTCAACATGTGCGAAGGTAGGTCAAACCTAGTTAACAATACCTTGGTGATGTGAGCTAAAAGCAGTCCAGCTTCAACCTTCCCGACGATGTCTTCGAGCCGGGTGAGAAAAAGCCCCAGAGGCCTCAAAAGAGACAGGCGAATGCAAACGGCGCAGCACAGATCAAGAAACGAAGTGCTTCAGAGGTACTGCATGGGTCGAGCTTACGGTCACGCCCAAGGGCTCTTCACGAGGCGGCCGAGTCCCCGACTAAGTATTTGACTGACAGATCACATAGGACAACTCACAGCCGCCCGCAAAACGTCAACAAGCTTCCGTTACGGCTGCGGGTTGATATTTTCGGGCACACTACCCCATACACCCCCGCCTCAAGATCGCATGAAATGCCAGCATATGGCATATGGTCACCATGTTGCCATTGTGTTGCTATGGTGTTGACAGCCCTGGCAACGTCCTTGTTTGCCTTTGATCTGCTGACCAACATATAAACATTACCAGATTGATGTTTTCATCCAGCTTGGCTTGACTAGCCACCAAAACCATCGATGACTCGTCTAGGGGCAAGTACTGTCAGCTTGACAGTGCGAGACCTTTCGAGCCCTTGCACGGTCAGGTTTTCAATGGAAAACAAATCAAAAAGAAGAAAGAAAAAAACTCGTACGTATCGTGGACTTGGTAGGTTGCTCTTGGAGGTTAGCTCGCTCTGAGTGACCTGGGGAGAGCAGAGACTACTAAAGAGCAATTCAGGGACATCTCTGGCACCCAAGCCGATTGCGACAGGAGCATGCACTTTGTGTGCACGGCAAATCTATTCTTAACCTGCCTAACCGGCCTGACCGGATACGGGCAGATTCCTCGGTATGCCCGGAATCCAATGTATATCAGATACCATTAGGCTCAGAGAATAGAGTTAAACATATCTCACATTCCTGCCTGTTTCCCCTTTGGTCACTTCAGAGCAGTTGGAGGCTCGCTGCCTGGCAGGCATATTACAGTGCTGTAAAAAGGGGGTGCTGATTCAACATGAACCGATGGCTGGAGGAGATGTGATGCCAGATAATGCCTGATGATACTCAAGCACGGCAGAAGTAGTCGCCTTCCGCTGCCTTTTTTACTTAATCTGGCTATTCAACTGACTTAATCAATAAGTGTGTAGGCAGACAAGCACTCAGTCGTCATCGTCATCGCTACCACTCGACCAACCTTCCCGGTATGCTTCGGCAAGGTCAGCCAACTCATTGCTGACATCCTCTCGATCCTCGACGCCAATGGAAGATGAAATGGCGGTACGCAAAGCTTTCAAGGCTGCCGATACAGACGTATCCGTGGAAAGGCTAGTTTTGACACCGAAAGGCTCGGTAGAGGGCTCGCCACTGCTATCAAGGTAAATTTCAGGGAAGCTGTCGAGCATGGGGAATCCCCTATCTGTGTGGTATCTGTCATGGGGTCAGTAATGAATATCATTTGCCATGGGTGGCAATATGTGTCAATATGATTGAGTACCTTTGAGCACTGGTCTCCACGAGCTCGGCTCTTGCCCGTTGTCCGCCTTGGTCCCCGTCATACAACACTTGCGGCGTACCACGGCTAGTTATCATTTGACCAAAGAGGTGAGGACTGTCGCCGCCACTGTTTATGTTCCGCCTCTCTGTCGATGGCATCGCTCGCATGATATCAAAAAAGTCAATGTCCAGCTTGGAATCTTCTTTCTCCTTGTCGTTCGGAGATTTCTTTAGTGCATGGGCTTCTGTGGCTAATTCCGAAGAGGGGCCCACAATGCTCATCTGCAGACGACTCAAGGTCTGCCGTCCGCGCAGGTTCAAGCCACTAACTAGGTCGCTCAGCGTTGCTTGCAAGCCATTACCAGTGCTGCTAGAGTTAAGCCGAGAAGGAAGGCCTGCGGTTTCCATGGCGGTGCCTAGCAAAGCAGTGGCATGCCAAGGGGACTGCTGGTCCATGTGGATGTTGGAGCGTAGCCGGGTCTGCGGGAGGGCCATGGGAACTAACATGGAGGCATATTCGCTTAAGTCCTTGATCGTTCTTGCTGTGTTGGTCATCTGGAGGCGTTTCTGATCCTGGTTTCAGTCAGCTAGGCTTATGGGCATTCTGAGGCGCGGCAGACGGCTTTGGTGTACTTACAATCCTTGCCGCAGGCATAGGAGTCTGCAGGCCCCAGACCCAAATAGTGACCTTGCCGTACTCGTCGCGTAGACGCTCGACGTATTCGGTTGCGAAGCCTCCCCAGGCATCGTCGATGGTCGTCACGATTTGAAGACCCTGCATCTGGTCGGCCTCCTCGACAAAGGGGCGGAAGTCACGGTCAACAATGTCATGCTCTTTGTCCAAGTTATCAAAAAGCTCTCTTCCCAACGCCCACTTGTCAAACGGCCTAATGGATGAGTTGAGCTCATAGTCGTAGAGCTGGTTGAGAGATTTTGGGTGGTAAAAAACCCGGCAGAAATCGGACCAGTACCGGACGTCAGACGGCTTGAGCTTGGGTGCCGTGGTGCCAGAGTCGAGGCTCTGCTGATAGGCAGTCGGTTCAACCTGTGGCTGCCTGTGGACCTGAGGGGATCCTTCCCTGTGCTTGGAGAACCTATGTTAGCAATGTGGTTGTCGTAGTTGGAGTCTCATCGACGGCAAGGAAGATGACACGGGCAAGAGACGGACCACAGATGAGCAGGCGCCCCTTCCTGGCTTGCGTCATACAAGGCGTTGATCTTGCGAAGCGACCCGAAACCACCCTTGAGGTCGTACACAACGGTACGCGGGAGGAATGTCTCGGAGCCATCCAGGGCCACGCCAGGGCGCCAGTGAACATTATGGTTCACTGGGGACTCGTCCTGGTCCGAGTAGGTGAAGTAGGATTCCTACCAGGGGTGTAAGAGCAGGCTATGCCATGTGTGTCGAGCCTTGTTGGTACCTGAGTGTTCCAGAAATGGGTTGCTGCATAGTTGCTCAGCTGACCCAGCTGGAGGGTGATGATTTCATGCATTTTTCTCCGGCGTTGATACTCTACGCAGATCGTGTTGCTGAGCGTAGGTTGGAAACTTGGTCTAGTCAAGGTTAGTCAAACAACGCCCAACGAGCAGGCTGAGGTGCAGCGGATGGTTCCGAAGAGCGAAGTGCATTGAACGGCAGTTTAGATACTGGTCGGCCGGGCCTTCACAAAATAAGCCGAGAATTTGATTTCATGGTGGGGGTGGGGGCGGGGTCGGATCTATTAACGTGGGCCGGTCCTGCATCACAGTGTGACGGCATCGGGCCCGTCCTGCCTATTTGGCAAGAATGATGGACGCCGGATGGCCGAGTCGCCGCCCAGCGTAAGTGCTCAACGCGTCTTCCCAGCCATAATCCAGGGGTCTTTATTCGCCTGGGGGTGGGGTAAGGACATCAGGACCAACATCACGTGCACTTCTTCATCCTGACCATTGCTATTGCGTCTTCGCGTGAAACGGATGTCCGGTTCGACAAGGGCGAATGGAGTTATGTTCGTGCCTACAATAGATTGAAATCAAGGGAGTGAAGGAAGCCAAGCAAGCCAGGATAGGGTAACAGCAGCATCCTTCCAACACTGGAAGGGGGCTGTCTCACAACGAAGAGCTCCGGACTCGAGGGAGGAGAGAGGGAGAGGGGAATGTGAGGAGTGAGAGCAGATTACCCCCCTTGACTTGAGTCCAATCGCAAGTTCCAATTCGAGATCCAAAAGCTATTAGGTCAAGATACAATACCGTATGAGCCAAAGCTTTGAGTCAAGCATCGGTGCGTCGGCTAAAGTCACCAGCTACGAGGAATGATGTGTCCTGTTCTGTTGTGCGTCTCTCTCTTTTTCGACACAAGAGTACAAGCGAGGGCTCCAATTTGACAAGTGCTGTAGGCGTTGCCCAACAAATATTGAAGTGTGTCCATCGCCCCAGGCCTAGAATGACAAGTTCATTTTGGGTTGGCGGATGTGTATACTGACTAGGTGGGTTTACTACTGCCCCACATGGAGTGAGAGGGCTGAGGTTGCAACAAAGGTCAGTGGAGCGTTAGAAGAGAATACCCTTTTTTTTCTACTGATGTGGAGCGTACTGTAAACCATGATACTGTGCTGAAGTAAACACTGTACGCGTGAAGTGGTGGAGCCAGTTAATCAAGGAAGGTTGGGGAAGACAAAGAAAACATTAAAAACAGACCGGCAGCAGAAAACACGAACAGCACGGGTCAATGCCAGGGGGACGCGACTTTTCAAAATGCACGTAATTGAACACAGGTACTTAGGTACCCTTCCTTGTCCAATCCCCCCCTCCCCAAATATTCAGTTGGTGCCGTCGTCACTGTTTCCTTCCCTTCCCTCCACACAGTGTCTTACTTAATTAAAACGCCCTCCCCCGAAAAAGACGCGCGACATTCGCGATCATCACATCTCAAACCCTTGTTCAAGCCGACCTGCCGACATCTTCAGCTCCCACCACTTTCCCAACTACTGCTACGCTACCACCATATCTGCTTACTCTCAAAGCCACAGATATTGGGAACTGGACCCGGAAACCCAATCTCATTTCGCCACGGACCTCGAGTCATCCTACTCAAGACGTCGAAGAGATCCTCTAGCCATCCTCCAAGGGACGTACCTCCCGACCAGTACCAGTGCGCTTGACTCTGCACTCGCACCACCCACACCACCAGCTACCTACAGTGTCTACCCGATTTGCTCTTCCAAAAAGGATTACGGCCACGAAGATCAACCTTAGACAACCTCAATCTCCTTATCGCTCTTCGCTAAGGAAATATTACCTCTCTGTGGCATTTGTCTGCCCCCAAACATCCACTTGACCCAGCCCTCACGAGTTGACGAGACACGACCTTGCCCCCTCATTCCTCACACGTCTGAGACCGAATACTTGAACCTACGCTCCCGCCATTGTTTATTCCCTCACGCGCGAACTGCTCTTCCCCTCAGCTCTGGCCATTCTTATCCAGAGGTGCCGCATGCTTAATCCTCTTACACCATGCCCGCCTCAGCGAAGCGCTCCCAGCGCACCCGTCGCGACGCCCGCCGCGATACCTCTCCTGCAAGGATAGAGGATAGCTCACCCACTCGACCAGCCAAACGGCGCAGGAAGGTAGTCTATCGACTTTCTTGACTCATTTGTGTTTGATTCCCTGCTGACTCTGATTTCCCAAGGTCGATGAGCCCCTGCCTGTTGAGCCCGCCGACGAAGACGAGTCTAGCCTCACTGCCGACCAATCTGGCCAGCCCGTAAGCGATGACGATCAGCTACTTGCCCAGGTCGTTCAACACTTCCAGGTGCCCAAAGAAGGTCCTGCCCAAGCTAGCAAAGATCATGCGAACTCGATACACGAAGCAAATGGAAGTGGCGTTCAGGCCTACGCCAAGATCGCGGCGCAGGACTGGACGTTCTACATCACCAAACTGATTGTCAATATTGGTCGCCCGTCCGAGGGAGTTACTGAGGACGACGATGAATTTATTCACATTGACCTCGGTCCGAGTAAGATGATCTCGCGCCAGCATGCCCGCATCTACTTCAGTTCTAAAGAGGAAGTGTGGTATCTTGAGGTCAAGGGTAGAAATGGAGTCAAAGTGAATAACGTCGGCCTCAAGCAAGGAAGTCTGCGTCGCCTAGAGGGTGGTGAGGTTCTAGAAGTTGGTGGCACTGAAATGATCTTTGTTCTGCCCACCGAGATCAGCCCCCTTCACATCGATTCCCTTTACCTCAAGAGGGCCGGCCTGTTGCGGCAGCGTATCGCAAGCCCACCCCAGCCGAGGACGGACTTGCCGGAAGAGCCATCATCGGCGTTGGGCTCAACTATCAGAAGTTCCCGAGGTCAGCAATTCCGCCAGCCGATTGCGCCAGCCCCAGCAGACTACAAAAGGCCAGGTACTCCTCCCTCTGCTATCCGCGGAAAACCAACGCCTTCGCAGCACAAATCACCACAGTACTCGAGCTCTGGAACCTTACTACTGAACTCGAATGATCTGGACCTTAGCCTTGACGAAAATAAGCATATCAAACCCCAGTATAGCTATGCGCAAATGATCACCCAGGCGATCATAAACACGCCAGAGGGAAAACTCAACCTCAACGGTATCTACAACTTCATCATGAACAACTACGCGTACTACAGGCACCAGCAGGCTGCTGGCTGGCAGGTGTGTTTGTTTACCTCTAATTTCCCTTCAATGTTTATTAACTTTACCACAGAATTCCATCCGTCACAACTTATCCCTGAACAAGGCTTTTGACAAGGTTGCCAGATCCACGGATGAGCCTGGCAAGGGCATGAAGTGGCAAATTGTCCCAGAGGCTCGGGAGGAGATGAGTCGAAGCGCATACAAGGGTGGCCGAGGCGGTCACAGAGGCTCATCCGCCCCATCATCACCTAGTCAGTTGAATTACATCACTCACGGGCCAAGGGACGTGAACGCCAGGGAGCCTGCGTCAGGTCGAAAGCGGAAAGTTTCGGCGACAGGATCACCGCCACCAAGTTCATCTTTGGCTGCTGTCCAGTCTACTCCGGACCGCAGCACACGCCGTCTTGCGCCTCCAAGCACTGCGTTGACTATCGACGGCAGCCCTCTGCCGCGACCACGCAAAGGCGGCGGTGCCTCTGCAGCAAACAGCTTCACCTCGGCCAGCTACAATGATCAATCACCCACATTAACTTCCTCCTACCTCCCAGACGAAAACACGTCCTTCGTGACGCCAGCGCCTCACCGCGTCCATCCTCGGTTGGCTCCTCCGAGCACTGCTCAACGGCCTAGCCAGCATATGCCTACCAGCTCGCCAGCTCCTTTCTGGAAGTACGCAGACATTGGGAGTACGCCCCTGAAACCTGCCGCCCATTTCGACATGAGTCCGTCCAAGCCTTCCTTGGGTGGCATTCCGCAAAGTAGCAGTCCACCTCCTGTAAAGTCGCCAAATAGCCCCACACGATCTCACCATAAGGAGTCATCAAGAGAGGCGCCAAGTGAGCCGTCCAATCCTCCAGAGATCGAAGAGGATCAAGGCTTTGATCTAGCAAAGTAAGTTGTTCCACGCATTATCCAGCGTCCCCGAATTTGGTACTGACCACGACGGCAGGGGTTTCCAGAGCATCGGGTCGTACCATGCACCCGTGAGTCGGGGATTGTCCGTAGCTAGTGCCATGAATGGCCATCCTTAAAGAAATAGGATTGCAATTCGTATCAAGACAAATGAATTTGATGCCTCTCACATTTGCTTCTGTTAAGGTTTTACCATACCAAGTGAAGAGTGAAGATAGTGTCATTCTAAAGCGCTCTGCCCCCTTGCTACTTTTCCGCATGCCTATATATGTCGAAGTATCCACAGATGCACCCGCCCCTTGTTTACATGCCCATCCAATTATATATAAAATACACATGCTCCGGCGTCATCGTAGTAGAGTCTCTCGACACTAGGTGTGCTGGGTAGCTGCAGCGTCAAGACGATCCCAGGCGACTGTTGGCCGGAAGCTCTGACACGTCAACAGTCAAGTGCAAGTACTTCTTATTCTTGGTATTCTTCAGGTTTACTTGGAAGACTTGCCCCTCCGTTTGGGGTTACCCCTACTCGGCCTTCCCTTGGTCTTGCTTTGTTGGTCGGTGCCCTCAATAAACTTGATCAGTTCATCGATGCTACGTGAGTCCATCTGCGACGACCCGCCCAGCTGCGGGCTGACATTAGCTGGTCCGCTCGACACGCTCGGGGCCGTAGAGGAGGCCTGGTAGGGCACGCCCTTGGGCGTGAAGCGAATGCCGGCGCGGAGACGCCTTGCCTGCGCGTCCTTTGCGTGCTTGGCAATGGACACGGCGTTCTGCGTCAGCTGCTCCAGCCAACTCTCCGCCTCCTTGGTGTTCTTGTCCTCAGGACCGAGCTCACCAAGGAAGATGTTGTACGATTCACGCATGCGGTTGACAGCGCCCTTGGAGTCCTGGTCCAAGGCCAGGGCCTGTGCGAGCTGGAAGAGGAGGGTAGCGGCGTTGATGGAGTTCTTGCCGAAGACGGTCTCGCAGATGCGAAGAGACTCCTCGAACCACAGGCGGGACTCGTGGTAGGCCTTTAGGTGTTGGAGCATCACGGCACCGTTGTTGATGGTGGTGATGGAGTCGGGGTGGTCCGCGCCGTAGATGATCTTCCACAGTTTCAACGCGTGCTTGGCAAAAGTCAGGGCACCGGTGCTGTCACCGGCCTGATGAAGAAACAAACTCAGGTTGAGATAGTTGAGCAGAGTCTCGGCAGAGTCAACACCGACGGTCCTCTCTGACACAACAATGGCCTTTCTGGCAAGTTCCACGGCGGCTTCCTTCTCATCTAGCTGGTAATACAGCATAGATAGTGTATTATACACACGCGCAACCTCGGGGTGAAGGATTCCGTAAATCTGCTCGTGTAGAGACAACGACTCAAGGAGAAGCTCCTGACCAAGCTTGCGCTGGTTCTGCATAATAGAGATGCGGCCGGCTTCCAAGGCCTCTTCAGCGAGAGCACTACGGGGGCAGGAGTGCTTCACAATGGGCACGACGTTGACGATATCGTCCGGAGTGAAGGTGGTTGCCGGAGGCGGTGGTGTTGAGGATACCAGAGATGCGTCCTTTGCTGAAACTTTCTTGTTCTTTTTCTTTTTGCTTCCTTCTCCGTTGGTCTGTCCATTGGTCGCGGGCGTGCCATTGGTGACAGGAGCAGCAGCAGGGGTTGCCTGCACAACAGGCTTGTCGGTGAAGTTGTACTCCTTAGCCTGCAACTGGAAACCGAGCTTCAACGAAATCTCGCGAAGTAGTTGTAAAGGCTTGACATTGGTATGCCATTCCGAGTCCAGTTTGTATCTGAATCGCCTGAGGGCCTCGTCCGCGATGCTGGCTCGAAGAGATTCGGGAGTCACCTGCTGGAATGATAGCTCTGCATCAGAATACAGCGACTTCAAGTCGGAGTCGATCTCCGCAGCGGGCTTAGGGTTCAGCTGGTAGCCCAACAGGCAGTTGAGAAGATGGGAGATGCACGACGAACTGAAAGGTACCGGCAGGTGACGGAGGTAGTTGGCAGCAACGTGCTTGAAAGACCGGGCAACCATGTCTTGGACACAAATGTCCTTCAGGCACTTCAGGCGAGGATCTTCAGCCAGCGTTGCCACCTTACCAGTGTATCTAATGTTGATGCCTCTCTTGTGCAGGAGGCGGCCGAGGGACTGCCCATCCATGGGGAAGCTAATGTCGCAGTCGGTGAGCTCGCGAACCAGGTCAGGAATGACCTGCTCACGAAGGTACTTAGACGCAAGGCGGACATCTTCTTCATCTTGCTTCATCTCGGCCTTCTCAGCGTCAGTCTGGGGATTCTGCCCGCTGAAGACGTCGGGGTTGAGGGAGAACGAAAACTTGGAGAGGTCGATGTGGTCCTTGGACTCCTTGGGTTCTTTCGACGCCTCCGTGTCCTTCAGTTCCCCAGATGTATCTGCCTGGACAGACTTCCTGTCGGGTTCAGCCTCGTCCTCACTCTCACTTTCGCTCTCGCTCTCGCTGTCGTCGCTGTCATCACTATCGTCACTGTCGTCGCTCTCGTCGTCCTTCGCCGAAACTTGCTTAGACTTCTTGGGCTCAGCCGGTGTTTCCTCTTTGGTTGCATCCTTTGCGGTCTGACCACGCCGAGCCAACTCCTCGTCAACCCAAGCCTTCATCTTCTTTCTTCCGTACGAATCGATCAGCTCAGGGCGGAGGACAGCCATTCGGTGGGGATATTCGGCCTCGCCTTCCTCCTCCAGCCAGTCAATATCCAAGGGCGTTACGCGGTACAAGTCGAGGACATATTTCCTAGCATCGGTTCCCATCAGACCTTTTGTCTCGACACTGGCCTCCAGGTCAATGCGCTTGCCATCCTTATCCCAGACAGCATGCTTCTTGACCTTCAAAGCCTGCGACAGCTTTGCGAAAACAGAAGCAAACCGCTCATCTGAAGCCACCACCTCCTTGCCGTCGACAGCACCGTAGTCGATCTGATTTTCGCCAGGCTCCCTCTGCTTGAAAATGCCTGGAACAATACTCTGACCAACAATGCGCTTGCCGAGGTAGTCGACCACGACTGTGGCAGGGGTGAAGAGGCCATCGATATCAAGCTGGTTGACCAACCTGACGCCAGCGACATCCTTACCGGTGGCAACTCGAGCAGCCTCGTCTCCTCCCTCGGAAGTGAAGGTACCAACACCGTCGGCGCCAAAAGAGAAGAAGACGTTGTTGTACACAAAGATCTGGGCGTCCTTACACTCCGTAGGGTTCAATGGAGGTATCTCACCGCGAGCAACAAGCACGGCACCGCGAGTGGCCGCATCGTTGTAGTCAGCAAAGAGCTTAGACATGAGACGCTCCCGGAAAACACGGTCCTGAACCGTGTCCTTAGGAAGCTCCCTCGCCGATTGAAACTCCTCGTTCCAGTCTCGCAGAGTGTCTGTGTTATCGGCACCAGCAATAAGGTACGTCTCCTGGGACCGTGTCGCATCGGGGCTATGGGTGCATAGAGGGGAAGATGAAGACGGCACAATCCATGGTGCGGCAGGTATCGCGTTTGTAATTTGGAATGTCGCAAGAGGATCCTTGCGGTTGTTGTACTCTTGCAGTTCGAGGAAAGATGACGAGAAGGAGGGCGAGAGCAGCTCGAGGAGGCCGAGCAGGGAGTGAGCCGAAGCACCTTTAGGGGTTGGGCGAGGGAAGGGGTCAAACTTCGAGTTGGACGACTTGTTGACGAAGAAACCTCCAACATGAGCGGTGATCTGGTGCTGCTCGCCCTCATTGGTCGTAACCACGAGATACAGAAGGTGCCCCCTTTGCTTAAGGTGGACAGGTGGCGGGTTCCAGGCAGAGAGGGAAATGGACTTAATCGTCTTAGGGGCCTCGTCCTCCTCAACGGGAGGCAGCAGGGTCGAGACGGGAACAGGAGCGTCGAAGGTGTAGTCCTCCTTTACTTCACTGGCAACCTGAGGCTGCGCTCCGTTGGCCTGCTCTTCCAGCGGTGGCGCGACAGTGTCAAGGAGGGACAAACCAGGGAGGATGCCCTGAACTGCATCGGTACGGTCTCCCGCAGCGCCAATGAGCTCCCTAATCCTGACAAGGTGTATGCGCGCCTCCTTCTCGGTGTAAGGGTCTTCAACCAGCTTAACCTCGGGGTCCTCCGTCAGACCTTGGATTTCGGAAATGGGAAGGAAGTCGTTGATGCGCTGGCCATGGTGCTCCAAGTGGAAGCAAGTGTACTGGAACGCCACGGGCAGGTCGATGATGGATTGTCGAACTTCGTGGACCTGTTCTTGAGGCGAGACCTGTGTCAAGCCAGTTAGCAGACGCACTCGGGAGTAGAATCGGCGCAGCTCACCGTGATCTGCATTTGACCGGGCTCGTGAGGAAGCTTGATAGTAAGAGTAATCAAGGCTATTTGTACTGCGTCAGTGTCCCGAACCCAAGGTAGAGGATGGTCTTGGTTACCTTCCAGGCCCTGATCAACATCATTGCCCTCAGCTTGAGGCTCGACCTGGGCCTCGACAGGGGGCGCAGGCTCCTTTGCGGCATTGTCTGCGATTTTCCATGTTTAGCATCATGGAATTGCTACCAGGGGTATTAAGTGCGGGCCATCTGTGCCGGCAGGTGGTGGTACCTTTGCCTGTAGGTTGGTCGGATTGGGACATTGGGACACAAATGTTGCACAATAACCCAGTGGGACGAATATTTTATGTACCGGTGTATGAACTGAATCAGGAACAAAAAATTGGGAGAGGGGAAGAGTATATATCGAGGTTTCGAAGCGGAGAGGGCTGGGTGGAATTCAACAATCGCACAAACCAATGAAGGTACGCGATTAATACGGAGTGGAAGGTTAAGGAGCGGTCTAACAGAAGATAGATGCACAACTCCCCAAGTGACGTATAGAGGCAACTGATGCTAAGCCTGAGAAAAAGAAGCGGCTTTCAGCTTGACAGCCAGTCAGTCGCGAATCGGAGAAGAGACGGGTGAGATAGGTAGAAAAGAGTACGTTGAAGAGAGTGTAGGGTAGACTGCCTTTTGGGAGCAACGGGGGGAAAAAAATTCACGGCAGAAAAAAAAATCGCGTTGTCATTCCGCAATTGACGGGCAATGCACCGGCCCGGCAAAGCTGGAGCTCTCGGGAAGGGGGGGTTTCTTAACCCACTCCGCTTCAGTGTTGGGGAGAGCTTTCACACTGCTAGTCGTCGTTAGTTCTTCCCCATGCCCAGGGTTCCCACTCCACTCACGAGGGTCAAGTAAAGGGGCACCGCAGCCCCGTAGTTCCAGAATGAGGCTTCAACTAACCTTACCTAATACATCCAGAAGCCCGATTATGGTTCTCTGGAGCTTTGCGAAGAGCACGTGACTCTTTCTTGATTGATAGCATTGGTCCAATTTGGGACCAAGGATCAACCTGACGTGTAGTAGCGATACGCCATACCCGATTAGGAAACAAGTAAACATTCAATGTGATGAGCTAAATACGTTGTTCAGCGATCCGTACATTAATCACACTTTACCAAGTACACTCTCACTTACAAACAGTACACTGCAACTTTATGTTGCTGCTAATTCCCTTTGGCTCTTATATCTATCAATACTTGCTGAAAACAACGCACCACAACCCGACGCGGTACGCAAACACGCACCCTCCTCCTTACTTCAGCCTCGGTCAACAGCCCTGGCTCGTTCGGGGCCTACGCCCCGTGTACTGGCTTTGACGCATACGGGCTTTTGACCTTATTCACCGCTGCTGCGGCTCTGTTGAGCTAGGCTCAGGTACATTCTCACCTGAGATGGTGAGAGACAATCATCCTGTCGGCCAGGGGTTTTCAGCCCAGCGAGAAACAGACGAGTTCCGCCATATGGAGCAGTCTAGTGGTTTGTCTTGGACTTCTTCGCGATGCCGTCGACTTCTACGCCCTCTCCAGTCTCGGATCACTGCCCTGCGAAAACTTGCGTTAGCAGAGAAGGCTGCTCCGGCACAGGACGTGCGTGAGAATGGTAATAGTGGCGGAGCGCCTCATCACCAGCCGGCGAAGAAAGCAAGGGTTTGGGACGACAATAGCATTTTTGAAGGGCAGCGAAAACGCCCTCGCCGAACATATTCCAGGAGATCGCCTACTGGTGTGTCTTCTGATGAGTATCGCCCAGCGTCAAGAGGTTCCCTTCGCATCAAGAGCAGCCGTCATTCAGGGTCTAGTCCCTCGGCTTCGGGTATACCCCATGTGTCAACCCCAATCTTACGCAAGGTCATATGTGACATGATGACGACGACAGTCTCGTTCGACCCGTCATCATGCGAAAAGAAAGGAGGCCTCTGCATGCTTCCGAAAGTTGGCAAACGCGGTCCTCTAGAATCGTCGTTGAATGCACTGGAATGTGCAAGACGTTCTTTCCGGCCAACTCATTACCAACTATACGAAGGCATCCTCCACGACCTGGATGTGCTGCTGCGCTCAACTATGCTCGAGAACAGGCCGGTTGGCGAGAAGTCGCTCTTGTCAATGTGCTTGCTGAAGGTACCTCAGTGCGCGGCAGAAGTTGAGGCTTGGGAAAGGTCCAGAGCAGCAAACCACGGACCGGTGTCTTCCATCAAGCAGATGAGCTATTCACTTCGGGTCTATGACGAATTGGAGACACTGGGCGGTGCTGGTAACGGTTGGGTCCACCTTCGAATTGTCCTCAGGGCACACGCCGTTTACTTATTGAAGGAAATTATTATGGAAGGCCTCCTGGACGCCAAATTCATACGCATCATCATCGAGCACTGCAGGGCTACACACTGCCCTAGAGAAACAGCTGAGCTCACCATGGCTCTGCTCTATTTTTCCTCTCACGGTCCGTCCGCAGATACAAAGCCGCTCGGCAGCAAGACGGAAGGTCGGCTATTGGCCTCTTTGCCGGGCCTTGCGGACAATCCCATTGTGGAGTCGTACTTGCTTGATACCTTCGCCTCTCTCTTATTGAGCGGACATCTCACCCCCGACACAGTTTCAACGAAAACCTTTGGGTTCTGGTGGACCACGACAGCATCTGCAATAGTCGGGCAGAAAGCATATTCATCTGCGACTCGATTCGCATCCGCAGGGCTTGCAGTCTTGTGCACAGCTACTTTTCCGAGGCGAAGGAGTTGCACATCAGAGCCCAGCACAAGATACAATGCTACCAAGTTGACCTTGATGAGTGTCCTTGGTGCCCTATCAGCCATGGCCATGATTTCGCAAGATTTCGGGGACGTCGCGAGCAGCAGAGTCACAGGGCGGTGGAGCAGAACACAGAGAATAGTGCTGCAGATACTCTACCAAGCGCTGGGGCTGGTGAGAAGCCAACACGCAAGTAGGGAGGCCGCATCTCCCCTATTGCTGGCAATATTCTTCACATCGTTCCCCGGTCCAGCTCATGACAGCGCGATACAACTCAAAGCCATCATCAACGCCCTCGAAGGTGGTCTTGGCCAGCGACAAAACTTGGGTGGGGGTAGAAGAAGTAGCCAGATCCTCGATGTCGCCGTTGCTCTTGCCTGCTCAGTTGCTCACTGTTGCGGCAGAGCTACGTCTCGGCCGTCTAGCCAATACTTTGCCGAACTCTGCAGACTGGTGGACCGGCTGGGAGTTCCATGTTTTGCAAGGTTGCGAGCTGACGGTGCTTTTTTCTTGGCCCAGAAGACCGACGATCTGCGAGACCTCGTATTTGCAGAAACCTTGACGGGAGCCTTGACTAGCAAGGATCGTTCTGTCCACGCAAACAGCGGCTCAGAAGAGACCTTTGCGGGCTTCCGATGGGAAGAAGGCATCAGCGAGTGGATTGCGGTGAGTCCGGTAGCAAGACGGCGAAACGGCATTGCACCAGCAGAGTTTGTAGTGCCTCGCCGGAGCAGCAGGCACAGATGTGGCTCACTCGAAGATCAACGGGACCACTCCGAACTGGATATGATATCGGGAGCTGCCGAAGAAATCAGGCCTTTGATGGTAATGGCTAGGGCGGCGAGCGAGCCGGACGGCATCCAGGTGGACCGGCAACAAGCAGGGAAAAGGCCGAGAGGAGAGGAACATGATCATGGCAGCCAGTCCGGAGAAGCGCGGGCAAGAACGGAAGGCATCGACGAGCTGAGCATGTGTCAAGAAAACCGGCCACGGACTCTGGGCAAGTCCCAGTTGAGGAATCATACCATGGCTAGACTACGGAGCGAGTGCCGGCGGGCTACCCGAAGCGGCGAGACGGGACCTCGCATGGTTTTGGCCGAGCTGTGTGGTAGAGTTAACCCTACTGGCCACGGGGACGAAGACGAACTAGGATTCTGATGAGGAGCGTAACATGTAGATGAATGGTTCATTTCCGTCCGACGAACATCCGACGAGTTAGACAGGGCATAATCCGCGTTTCAGCTCCTTGTCGCCCGGTGGAGTCGGTTGCGGCCGGGGAACATGGGATAGGACATGTGGAACTCACGCTGTGTTACTACACGAGTTTCTTCCTTTTTTCTTGTGCCCAATCATCTGGTGATAATCTCTCTTATCTGCCACTTCTTTTTATCCACGTGCTGTGAGCCTGCGGCCGCATGTGAGCAAGATGACAATGGTGGATTTGTAAGGCGGAAAGGTGTTTGTGGAGGAATTGCAGAGGTGGATGTAACATGTTTTCGACCACCACGGTAGCGGGCCGGGAAAACCTCTGGAACCTCATTCCCAAACCCGCCGGGCTGATCAACTGGGCGAGTAAACAGGCAGCGCAGCCCCCCAAAACGACCGAGAGGAAGGTTGTACTGTTGTAAAGAGGTTTTAGTGATGTTTAGACGAGACAGCAACTTGCTACGTTTACTATTACGACGATTGCGTCAGCCCGGCTAATTATGCTGGCATGTCAGTGAGTGGGTGGGTTGCATTTGTAGATAGCCGACGACAAGAAACGCCTACGACTGAAATCAGGTCATCGGCGCAGTTGCTCGGTATACACAAGACAGAACTCTGACGCGACTAGATGTGTTCGGTGTTAGCTCCGACGGTAGACTGCGAACCCAACTTCAAGCCATGACTGACCTGGAGCTTAGTTCATACAATGCTTATTCAATACACTTGCTGATGGGTTCTGTGCCATCAGGGCCACAATATCAAGCTACCGAAATAAACCAAACCTCTTCGAGCAGCGCAGAAAGATCGGGGAGCAAGAGGGGAATGCCCGTGCATTCGATGGTTCTGAACAAGGAACGGATGCATAGCAACGGTACGAATATAGATAGACATTATAACCAACAGCTCTCTAGTAGGGTAAAGCCAAGAAATAGGAAGGCGTCCAGGCAGAAGGTCTATCTATGCCGTCAACCTTCTTGACTACATATACCATAACGAAGGAAACCTACCACCAAGAAAGGAGAGCGCCGTCCAGGATTAACTCAGTTGTCTGGCTCTGCTCTCCATACACGTTCACAGTAGAGGCTTTTCTTAGAGCCTTTCTTTCTCCTCTCACCCAACAAAGCCAACCGTACCAAGAAGCGTTTATAGGTCTAGTTGGGGTCGTCACACCATGCGGAGCCATCCAAGGCTCAAAGACACTACAGACGAGGTGAGGACATGAAATATCTTTTCAGCCGGGTTGACGTAAGCCAAATAGGGTCAATACTTTCAAGAGTTAGCGAGAGTAGCGGAAGAGGGGAACCAGCAGGCATAGTTGATGAGTAGGCAGGTACCAAAGATGGCAGAATCCCTTCTTATCGAGATCACATCCCAACTCTGGGAGGAGATGGTTCAGGGACGCGGCAGTACATTGAAAGTCAGCTCACCGAGTTTCCATGGTCAAGTACCGGCAGACGGCAACATGTGAACTGCTCATGTCAACTAAGCGCCCCGTGGTATGACATGTTACCAGGAACAGGGTCGCAAGAGCTGTACGTAGCAGCAGGAAACTGAGAGTTAGGGTGGCTTTGGCTAAGCTATGGATTGGTACGAGGCAAACAAAGCCCGAGGGTCGACGTTGCGCCATGTTTGCAGTGCATCACCCACACTGTGGGTCACACGCAACGCACCCCCAACAGATCCTCGACGGCGCGCGTATATTCAGGGCTCTGAGGTGGATGAGTGGATTGCCACGATAGGACTTTCAAATGGACGGATGGCCGGCCGAGCCCCTTGGATGTGGATGTATATAATGGATGGAAATGGAACGGAAAAGGAGTATTTGGGGAGAGGAAGTCATGGATACCTCACCCCCAACGCCGCATATTATCGTCTCAGAATGCGGTCAACGCAAGGACCGTGAGAAGCGCGCGATCTGCAGGTTACGTCGTCGTTGTCGTCGCTGGCCTGCTAGAGCACCTCTACCTAGGGTCCTCGGGAGATGTTTCCATTAGCGGAAGAACGTTTGAGCTCGATACGTTGATGTCGTTCGAGTCAATGCTAGCGCGAGTGGGGCCATGTGGACGTGAGAGTTATCCCAACTTGACTTGCCCCGTGCCCCCTCGACCACGCACCCGTCTGTTGAGTTGAAACGCTGTCATCCGAAAGAGTGGAGTGAATACCTGGCGTCTCGGGTCTGCGTAACTTGTTTTGGGATATTCCGAATCGACCTACGGATCGATAGAGGAGGACAAACACCAGCTGTCTCCGGACAGATTCCGAGTGAGTTGCCAGATTTGAGGTTGGAGTTAGTGAGACGAAAAAAGCAACTGACTGTAATCCAATGGCCATTAGAGAGAAATGAGACAGTGGAGCGGGCAATGCTGCATAGGTTTCAACCGCAATCTACTACTCCGAGCCATGATTAGGGGAGCCCGTCTGCACGGATGACCAAGAGGGATTTTGTCATTATTCGGCTCAATCGAGGCACAGGCCCTGCTCTGTATCCCCTGAGCCGCCTCATTATTAAGGACTAAATTGACTGTAGGTAGATTTGCATTTGCAGACAGCATCGGCAATCAAGTAGCAACGATATCATATGTGTGATAGTCCCACCGTGACACCAGCTTCTAGCACGGACTCGCCCGAAGAACCTTTAGCGGATTATATACAGCCAGTTATATTGTAAACTTCAGCGAGGCACGCAAGCACGGGACCTACCTAGCTTAGTCATTAGTTAGGCATTGCAGCGGGGCCGCAGAATCTGTGTCACTCGACGTGAATATACCCTGCGTCGTTCTGTTCAGTGATTGATGGATCACAGCTTGCTCGATACTGTTTGCTCGCATCTCGCATCGGCCCCAACAAGGCACCCGCCACTCCGGAAGGCGGCACGGCGCTTCGACAGAACCTGGGGGTTTGCTGATTTTCGTCATGCATCAACCCCCACCTCCCGTGAACCCGATCCCCGACAGGGCAAGTCGCAGATTGTCAAGTGCAGCCGAGATAAGTCGGGTCTGATTACTTGAGGAGGGCGTGATGTGGGCCGGAGGGGCTTGGCGTGTCGTTTTGTTTGGTTTAGCCGAGAATATGACGACGCTGTGCAGATCTGGCGCCTGGGTCGGTATCAGAAGAGCGGACGAAAAGAGCATGGACGGTGAAGGCCGAGACACAGGACCAGATCCGCGGGTATCGAGCGAGCGATGGATGATGGGGATGGAGTTGTGTCTGCTTTGCGCCTTATCTACTTACTACGTAGTATGTACCATACACATACAAAGTAGTGTGTCGTGATTGGCTGGAGAGGGCTGGGTAGCACCTGACTATCTGCTGTACATAGTATGATGTTAGATCGGTACGATCCTGCTTCGTATCCCTGTTCCCGTTGTTGGGTTGGAGCCATGCGGCCTTCGGCTGGTGCTTTCTCGTTGTGACAAGGACAAGACCGACACAGGGCTAGCTTTGACCACGAGCACCAGCCGACCTTATTGAACGATGAGCACCCAAGGCCCCTCCTGTAGAGAGCCCAAAAGCAAGTGTGCACATTCCACTTAAAGGCGGTTGTTTTGTCCCACGCAGCGCAGCGTGGCAAGCAGTGGTGGTTTGACAGCGGCAGTAGTTGCCGGCGGCAGACCGGCCATCCCTTCTACTATTGTAAGGTGGGTGTGGTCGTCATTAGTACAAGTATAGCCGCAGGCATGGACGTAGCCTTGTTTCAGAGTTTCGAAGAAGTGGTCCTCCCCCCCACCTCCCCGCCACCTAGCAAAACCCAGGCTGGAAGATCCCGACATTCCTACCAAATCATCCGTACCTGGCTGGCAATGAGTGCTGCGGCTGTTCAGACCGGAAATCGTCGCATTAACGACGACAAAACACACGGTAGACAGTGTCGGCAGACATTACGATCGTGTCCCTTATCGTCCGTGTGTTTTAACGTGGATCTAGTAAGCAACGGACACGATGTCGCGGTTGATGGCGGTTGCTGTGTACCTTCCTTATGGCCTCTCCCAGCTTCCTTGCTGACGAGTGTACGGAGTAGTGTGGTGTAGTATGGTCTAGGTAGTGTAGTGCAGTGCCGTAGCATAACCGTGCCTAGTACAGCCACTCTCGGCCATATGTGCGACCTCGGTCAAGGGCAAAGCAACACATCTCAGGATAAGCGTCGTTGCTGTGCGATGGTGGTTGGCTGAATGCAAAAGGCCTCCGACACAAGCCTGGCGTTTGCCCCTGGATAGCGCGCCGGCTGCGAGGTACGGCTAGATCTACTGTCCAATCAGCTTTGCAAGCGCCAGCCTTGGCCAGGGCTAGTTGCCAATGGACAGACCCTGTAAAGCACCTCGATGTTCCCTGCGCTTCGTGGCAAAGGCAAGAGGAAAGGCGATCACCGCCCCCCTAACCCAAAAGACAAAAAAAATTGTGAAAAGAAAATAGAAAATAGATAAGGAGATGAAAGGAAACGCCAGCGCAGGCCAGCCAACGCAGACCGAGACCAAAATGGGTTTGCGAGAGCGGCGAACAGGACTCGAAAAGAAATGAGGAAAATACCTGTATAAATAAGCAAATGCCTGATCGAGGTATATTGTTGAGCCTTGCTCGATGTAACCTTTCTGTCCCTTGTCGGAGTATTGGCAGGCTGAGAAGTACGTATCGCAACTATGCCCCTCGGTCAGCTTCTGAGCGTGTGCTGTGCCCCTGCGTCGCTCCTTGATTTTGCGTAAAGACATTGGAGATGCCCTGATCCCTGCCATCTGTCTTCAAGCCCCAAGCCAACCCCCTGCTTCGAAAACTGTCGTCTCTCAAACCCCTGATGCCGTCCCGTCTTGGTCAGTCCTGATCAAACCACTCAGGTCAGGCCATTTCAGTCCGATCCCCTTCCAGTCTGCTGTCTTCGTAGTGGAAGTCTAAGCATTTGGGCCGGCAAAGAACAGCGCAGAGGAAGAGGTCAGGAGCCATGCTGGTTAATGGTATCATGATCTTGGTTGATGATCAGGGCTTTGAGACGTCTGTTCTGTTCTGTTTGGCAGCTCATCGCTCTGTGCGGTGCTCGGTATCCCCGCTCTCAACTGCCGTGGGGCGGACGCCGCGTGTGGATTTCGGACGTGTTTACCAGCGTCAACCTGTTTGCTTGTCAATATGCGCCGTGTGCCATGTCCACCTACGAAGTACGCAGCCATGCCTCACATCGGGTAGCCTCTGCCCTGTACAGCCCGGGACGCCGCAGCTTGCCTTATCCGGATTTGCACTTGCGCGATGATTCCTCGGTTGAACATTTGGAAAGACTGGTTGAGTGTTTTTGCTCATCGTCTTCAGCCAAGCACAACGTCCAACCCCTCATCTATTCGGGTTCCTACCCTGTGAATCGTGATGCTCTTCGACCAACAGGGGGGCGGTGGGGGCACACAGTCTCCGTCTATTTAGGGCCGTCCACAACAGCGGAGCCAGGTATCCTCTTAGATAGGTAGTGGGAAATGGACGATGATGCTTTAGTCCTTGTTAAACTGGGTCGTGCCGGTTCATACATCTCCACCCACACGCCCCTCCCTCCCTAAAACTCTGTCACTGTTTATTTGTAGTCACCCTGCATAGGTACCTAGTGGAAAGGAGGATCCTGGAACACACCAACTCGGCCTGGTTCGCATGCCGCAATTTGCTGTACCCGTTCTAAGAGAAACACTACCAGGTCTTACATCACCGGCTTCTCTCGCTCATTTACTAGTCTCACATTCCTCTTTCCGTTATTCTCTCTCCCTTCCCCTCTCTCTCCTCTCAACGGTCACTTATTCAGTTCTTGTCCTTCCCTTCCTGAAGCTTTCTCCTCGAGTGACGTCTCAACTCACGACGACGTCCGTTTCCCACTTTCCGCTGACCATCTTCATTTCTTGCATTGACTGCAATCTTCGACCTTTCTTTTCATCAGGGCTTACCTTTTGTTTTGGAAGGTGCCCATCGTGCCGGCCTCGAAATATTTTCAAAGAGCCTCATAGAGACGACGTTTTGCTTAACAGACAACCCCTCCTACTATTGGATGACCGACGACTCCCTCGACTACACATAACGACTACTCACAACTTGCTATACTCTCATTCCGCTCTCGGTGTTTGGATTCGAATTGCTGGGCAACGTGTCGATTCTATTGAAACCAGTGTCCCCTTTTGGAGCGCTCAGCCGACGCAACTTTTCTCTCTCTGCGATCGTAGTCTGAAACTCTTCAATACGTTCACCATGGCTGGTGGAGGCGCAACAACTTCACCCGAGCAGCAAAAGGCGGCCCTTGAGGCTGCTCTTGAAAACCAGGCTCTCTCCAACTACCTGTTCTATATTTGCGCCAGTATCTCCGCTGCTGTCATTATCTGGAGGGTCTGGACGGTCATTGTCAAATATGTTCGCACCGTCGCCTCTTTGAACAACGACAACCAGCGATACTTTGCGCAGTCCGACTCCAAGGTTTCTTGGATCAAAAGGAATGTTCTTTATGCCCCGGTCTTCAGCAAGCGCCACAACCGCGAAATCCAGTTCAGCTCCGCCATCAACGTCGGCACCCTCCCCAGTCGTTTTCAGCTGCTGTTCCTGACCGGCTACCTGGCAACCAATGTCGCATTTTGCGTCATCGATATCCCGTTTGCTGGCTCCTTTGCCGCCGCGGCGAAGCTGCTCCGAAACCGAACCGGTACATTGGCCGTCGTTAATATGGTGCGTCGTTCCTCGACTGATATGTTCAAAGCAGTAGATCGCACAACGCTGTGACTACAGAGATCAAGTCACATATGCCAATGGCCGGAAACTAACGAGATCCCAGATCCCACTTTTCCTCATGGCTGGACGCAACAACCCTTTGATCCAGATGCTGGGCATCTCGTTTGACACGTTCAACTTGCTGCACCGTTGGTTCGGTCGTATCGTCATCCTCGAGTCCATCGCTCATACCCTGGCATGGATGTCCAGCACTGCTAAGGCATCAAGCTGGGAAGCTGCTATTACGTCCGCTACCACAGTTCCCTTTTTGCTCTTTGGCTTTGTCGTAAGTTTCTGGCGTTGCTTGGCATGATTCTGATGGGAGCTGACATGACACTAGGCCACTTGCGCCTTTACCGCCATTGGCATCCAGGCCTCGAGTCCTATCAGGCACGCATTTTACGAGACATTCAAGCTTCTCCACATCCTGCTGGCCATCACGGCCGTTGTCGGTGTTTGGTACCACTTACAGATGGAGGCTTTGCCTCAGCTCAAGTACCTTTGGCCTGTCATCATTTTCTGGGCCTGCGATCGCGCCTGGCGCGCCGCTCGTGTTTTCTACGGCAATGTAGGACATGGAGGCAGCAAAGCCCTCGTCGAGGCCCTTCCCGGCAATGCCTGCCGTGTCACAGTGACCATGGCTCGTCCCTGGACCTTCGGGCCTGGCCAGCACGCCTATGTGTACCTGCCTTCCATCAGCCTTTTGCAGTCTCACCCATTTTCCGTTGCGTGGAGCGAGGAGGCCGAGGACCCCCTGGCCGAGAAGGCTTCTCTCAACCGTCAGGATATCCTCGCTATGCGAAAGACGACCATTTCCTTCGTGATGCGCGCCCGAACTGGCATGACCGATACGCTGTACCGCAAGGCGGCTGCTTGCCCTGAGGGTAAGATGACAACCACTTGCATGGTGGAGGGCCCTTATGGCGGCATGCACAGCATGCGCTCTTACGGCACTGTCATGCTATTTGCCGGCGGCGTCGGAATCACGCACCAGGTCCCCCATGTGCGTGATCTCGTTGCTGGATACGCCAATGGAACGGTTGCCGCTCGGAGGGTGATTCTTGTGTGGACCATTCAGAGCCCTGAGCATCTCGAATGGATCCGCCCCTGGATGACGGAGATTCTGGCCATGGAGAAGCGTAGAGATGTTCTCCGCATCATGCTCTTTGTCAGTCGACCGCGCTCCACCAAGGAGATTCACAGCCCTTCGTCAACTGTTCAGATGTTTCCGGGTCGACCCAACATCGAAACGCTTATCAAGGCCGAGCAGGAGTCGCAGGTCGGTACCATGGGCATCAGTGTGTGTGGTCCTGGTGCTCTTAGTGACGAGGTCCGCCGCGCCGTCCGCGACCGCCAGTACGACTCAGCGATCGACTTCCACGAGGAGGCCTTCTCGTGGTAATGGATGGATGATGATGATTATGAAGGGGAAGATTGTATCCCGGCTGCAAATCTTGTGCAAGGCTGCCACAGCGACATTTGCATGCCGAAGGAGCACCAAATGATATCGAGCCACGCAGAAAGGGTGATCTAAGCCAATGTGTGTCAAGAATGCTCAAGGCTTCTCGATATTGGAGGGAGGTGTTGCCGACTTGAATTCTATCGAATGTAAATATAGGGATTTTATATACAGTGTAGTCAGTTACACACAATTTATGTAGTTGGAAGAAATAGCGGGGTAAGCAGCTTTGATGCGTCACTCTCGCAGCACTGAAGGTCACCAGGCACAATCACTGGCCCAAAACCCCTGTCCGTTCCGTTGTGGCCTGTGCCTTATCCTTGTCAGCCAGACATTCCAGGCCACGGCACCCCATCCGTACTTTGATGCCTCTTGGACTATGGCCTTCTGTGTTTACCTTGCGGTCCGAGAAGCAACTCGCTCACACTCAAACTTTTGGCAGCCATTCCCAGTGGAGGCTTTGTTCTGAATCCCGAGTTTCTATTCCGTTGGATCAAATCCTTCCCTCGAGGTCACAGTGCAGGAACATCTCACGCAGACAGAACTGGCGAATGCCGGCAGGGCAGGGGCGCCTCGCCATTTCATTACTTTGCCTTGCACTACATAACCTACCTACCTACCTACCTAGGTACCTTGCCACTATTCCTTTGCACACCGGCGACACTACTCTACCCTCCTCCAACCTGCAACCGAATCCCCGCACCTCCCACCTTCTCTCTCGCACGACGTCCGAAGCACAGCAGAGCCGACCGGAAGGCTTCATCCTTTCGACAAACTCCTTTGTAATACTATCGCCTTTCAGCCTTCTGCGAGTCGAGTCTCGCAGACATTTGGTGCCGTAAGACATACGGAGAAGCGGGCTCATTCAGTGCCGGCGCCTAGCGAGTTCAACAGAGGGCTTGAAAACGGCTCTCATCCGCACCATCAATATCTCTCGACCACCCGAACCGTCCAACTTTACTCTCCCGTCGACATCTCCCTGCCTCCTTAAGGGGGAGGTCTGCAATACCATGGGCTTGGCATACAACACATACTTGAATAGTAGCAAGGTCTACGGCTGCAAGACATGCAAGGCGCATCTGTCAAATCATGAGGATATCATAAGCCGCGTAGGTCTTTCTCTCCCTTTATCCCTCTGCCTATCACATTCTTCTTTTACAGCGGTGTATATCTTTTATGCGTAATTTCCTGCGTCTTGAATTTGAAGTTGGGAGCGTGGTGCTTTACTACTAGTCGTTGTTCTTATTATTCTCTTGGCTAACGGACTTGCCCCCCGTTAGAACTTCCGAGGACAGCACGGCAAAGCGTACTTGTTCAATACTGTCGTGAATATCGAGACAGGCGAGCCCAGCGAGCGTAACATGACGACAGGACGTCACATAGTCCGGGATATCACCTGCAAGCAGTGCAAGGAGACTGTTGGGTGGAAGTATGATAAGGCATATGAGGCTACAGAGAAGTACAAGGAAGGCAAGTTCATTCTCGAAGCTGAACTGCTTTGCAATGTTACTTAGGGAGGTCTCAACAACCAAAGGGTAGGGTGCAGGAGGTGACGCTATGCATATGCTTCTCGTCTTGAAGTATGCGTGCTTTATTACGGCCTTTTCTTTTTCTTTCCTTTCCTTTCCTTTCCTTTTTCCTCTGGAAGAGCAGTGCGACGCCTTGCATACAAGCCGGCGCTTGATGGTGTTTTGATAAAATGGCTTTTGTTTCGGCCTTCTCTGCTCTTCTTGTCAGCCGATATCTTACTGCTCTCCGGCCACCTGCCGATGCAGAGCCAAGAGCTGTATTTTAGGTCAAAACGGAGCCAAAGAACACATGGCATCAAGCAGGATTAGAAATGATGTTTGGTTAAGGGTATGGATTTCTTCAACTTCGTACAAGAACCAATACAAGATTCGTTTAAGGATATTCAAGAGCAGGTCCCAAACCGAACTGCATTACACTAGGCACAACCATTCTTCTCTATGATCTAGTGCATTGAGAACCGGAAAACAACCCATTCCTAACTTTGTAATGTGATACATGGCTCCTCTTCGGACCACTAGCTTTCATGAAAATCTACTGGTGCTCAATCGGCTCTTCCGGTAACAATTCTTCCACCTCTTCATTGGGAATAAGGAACTTGAAGGGCGGTTGCACGATTCCATTGAAGAGGAAGGTAAAGTAGACGAGCAGAGCGAAGCCGACAACCTGCAGCCATTTGAAGGTTTCCCAGTGTAAACCAAGGGAAACGATCCATATAAAAAGGGTCCGGCATGTGTCGATTGTGGACCGCGAGGTGGCGCTGACACTCCTGGTAACGGAGAGACCAAAGAAGTTGAACCCGCTAAAGTGACAGCAGTATCAGTATAGCTCGAAGAACACGAAGACAACAGCTTGAAGGAGACCTACCCGATGCTGATCATAATTAGGATACTGGATAGGCCGATAGCTCTATTCTCAGTGAGCTGTCTCCAGCCTTCGACCATGTCAAAGTAGCCGTTCTTTCCGGCAGCAGTGCGTCCAACGGTAAAGTGCAGGACGACCATGCCAAACACGGTAACAACAAAACCGAAGAGGCCCTCCCATCCAACAACTCTGATAGGCTCAATGGCCGACCTTTCCAAGATCCATTCCTCGAGGACGAACTGAGTAGCAGTAAATATCTGCGCCCCGGCAATGAGTAGAACTCCAACGACGGTTAAGAAGGCGTTGGACTTTGGAGACCCCTCATCGGCGGCAATCTCGGTCTTGTCCTTGTTCTCGTGATAAATGGCGCCAGCCAAGCCAACAAGCGCAACACCCACTACGACGCCGACAAGCGAAAGCCATTGGAACAAGAAAAGTCGTCGCTTGAGGAATACAACACTGAAGACACCGACAAACAGGACCAAGGCTCCACGAGTCATTTGGTAGATGGAAGCAACAACCAGCAGAAGGCCAATGTTCATCAATGTCGTGCCGAGGATATCGCAAATGGCTGGGAGGGCCAGCAAGAGGATGCGGGGGCCGCGCAGTATGGACCCTTGCTCCTGCTCTCGCGGCTTTGGAATGCCGTTGGGATTGCTAACGAGAGCGGCGCTGGCTTCATCATTATCATTCGTATTGACGGCCTGGTAGCCATCCGAGGTAGGAGACGCCCGTGAGAGGTAGCGGCGGTACAGGGTCATCAGGCCAACGACCAACCAGCAGCCCATTTCACCAACAAACATCTGAGCCGTCTGTAAAACAGGTTGATTGAAGTAAGCTCGTTTGGCGGGGTCCTTCGCATCGCAGTTGCGGACGCATTGCATGTCCTGGATGTGGATGGCATTGTTAGCGTGTGGATGACGACTGCATCAGTTGTTTGGATGAGAAGCACACGGAATAGACAGTGTAGAGAGATTCAGATACTTCGTACCTGATACTTGGTAAGCAGGGTGTTGCAAACACCCGTCAGTAGCATCATGGCCACGAGAAAGGGAATGAGGGCCCGCGACGCCATGTTGCATGCCTTTGGTCAAGTTCAATCAGCGGCGAGACTGTCAACAGGCGGATGTACGAGGCTAAGAGAACGTTGAAAGGGAAGAAGGAACCCGACGTTCCTTTCAAGAACTCTCAGCGGAGGTCAAGATTGAGCTCATACAAGGCACAGCCCGGTGCGATAGTGTATAGTAGAGGAATGCGAAGTGAAGAAGGGACAGGAATGGATTATGAGGTTGGGGGTTGGATGGAGGAGGATAGCTGCCCAGAGACGGGGAACAGCGCGCAGTAATTGGAGTTGCAGCTGTAACAGCCGCAGCCCGGGAAGTATGGAGCCCCGGGGCATATCAGGGGGTATGTGCTTCAGTTTCCCCACAGCAAGTGAGTGTCTTATCGTTTGGGCCTACCTAAGTAGGCATCTACCAGCGCCTTGCACAGCAGGTCATGCCCCTCTCTGTCTGCAGCCATAAGCAGTATTGATTACATAAAGTACACGTATGATGAGTTTGACTCCTTAGACGCATATGTGCCGGCTCATCCCATCCTAGCCATTAATGGATGGTCTTGCTTCCTACGATGAAATCAATCAATATCGATATCGTGCATATATTTGTTCGCATCGCCTACAAGACTTGTCGGCCCAAGTGCATCGTGGAGGCTCTCAGATGTGACTTGACACCCGTGTGCACCGAACATCAAGTGAGCTTTCCATCTTCACCAACAGTCCTGGCCCCCGAAATCTAATGATACTTGTCGTTTGTACTTGCTGAAGCAACGTGGCATATTCCATGTCTGTATTATATTCGCGTGTGCGTAAACGAAAGTGACGGTTAGGTGGAGGATGACAACACAACCTATTCCCTCTCCTTAGGCTCTTTCGGTTTCTTGTCCTTGATATTGTTGTAATGCCGAACTCCCATTTCCTTGTCCTTTGCCAGACGCTCCTCATCCTCCTTGCTGAGCGGTACTCCTTCTATGCTCTTAACCTTCTTGCCCTCGAAAAACATCATCAAGCCTCCTATGGCGGCCGCCAAACAAGCAAGTGCAACGAATAGACCAGTTGACCAGCTAGGTCGGTCGAATCGGTTCATTCCCCACATGAAACCAGAAAGAACGCACTGCAGAAGCGTGTTCCACACGTTGAACCAAATAACGAAGTCCATCTTCCAGATGGCCGTCGGAGGTGCCCGGATGCCAGTGAGAGGCGGATCCGGGATGGCTTTTGTCGGATGAGGAATTTGCAAGACGGGTTGTTCAGCTGCCAGCTCAGCTACATTCTGAGGGCCGATATGGACAGGGAGCCGATCCGAGCCAGGTAACCGGAACCATCCACGGTGAATGCCGGCTAACCGGCCAAGAGCCTCAGGTTTCTTCAAGATGCGATACTGCATCAAGAAGTACAGGTCGCGAAATCTCCAGGGCGCCAGGCCAAAGCCTGTGACGCAGAAAAGAGCGTTCAAGATTTGCGAGTCCCACTCGATCCACTTGCGACGGGGAGAATTGATATCGTTGCATGTTGGGTAGCACATGGCTGGTGCAGCGTTGCAGAGTAACAAGAATAACATGCCACCCCAAGCCACGACATTGAGACCATACAGAACAACAAAGAAGCCGAGGGGCGTGCATGTATATCTCCAAAAGGCCTTTAGGCCGATCAAGGTAGATTGTTTCTTCGTATGCGCCGGTGGAAAGTGATAGCCATTCTCGAAGGGATCGTATAAGTCGCGTTCAGCTGTAGCAACTGCCGCCGAAGCTGCGCTCGTTGGTATCCTGCCTTCCACATCCTGTTTCTTCTGCTCGACGTGGTTATTTGTGTTTGTGTCGGTAAACTTCGTATCGGTAGTTGACTGGTCGAGTGGCAAATTCCTTTCCTTCTCACTGCTATCCAGTGACGAGTCTGGGCGTGACATTGTGGACGGCGAGTGGTTTCTTCTAGCCTCTGGGGCCAAGGTCCCTGGGCACAAGAGAGTTCTAGCGACACTTAAGACAGTAAATCGTCGTTGTGCGGTATGATATGTTGAAGTGAGAGATGATGACTTAGGTGCAACCGGTTCAGTCGTAGAAGGGGAGGTCGCAGAAACAGGCAGTTGTTGGGATATAGATGATTTGTTTATGCTTGGTTTGGGGTGGTGCGTTGAATCGAGGACCGTGATGAATGACGATGACGTGTATACTTGGGGGCCGTGGGCAGACGTGAGACAGTTGTTGATTATGGCAGTGCGCAAATGAAGAGGAGCCAGCAGTGGAAGAAGATGTCTTTCCGTACAAGCAGACGGTGTGGGAGGTAAGAGATAGGGGATGGGATGTGTGTAGGGTATCTTAAACTAGCAAACCAAAAAAGCGAGACGAAAAGTGGCCAAGTACCGGTACCAAGATCGGGGACTTTGACGAAATGTTCAACAGGGTTGCGATTTTGATGGAAAGATCGGATTAAGTTAATGAGGGGGTGGACATGGACAGGAAAGAACGAGAGAACATCAAAGCCACAGGGACGAGACAGGATACTATGTAGTCAGACAAAGATTTTTATTTTATTTTCTTTCCAAAAGCGACTGTTTTGACTCTTGGAGCCCGGCGACACAGCTAGGTAGTGTAAAGTAGCAGAAAAGGGGCGGGAGGGAAATGGGCTATCCAATCCGGTCCAAAGGCAGTCAGGATTTCCATGATGGCCCAGGCCCAGGGTCGGAAAGAGCATCATGGCAGGGCAAGACTGCTTTGGTCCTACTGAAGAGGGGCACACAAAGGAAGCTCAAGCCACTGGGCTGTCCACGGACAACGGGGTGCAGGTCGGGTATCCAAACCCGTTACAACCAATGAGCGGCGACGTGTGCATAATCGTAAACTAGGTAACTATCTGTAAGTGGGGAAATGAGCGCCAGATGGTCCTGGGACAGTTACGTCAGTACGCGCACCACCAATGTTGCAGCTGCAGCAGGTCCAAATTCTGTACGTGTTCTGGACGCACAGTGAGGTCAGCGTGCCAGAAACGAGGTGTGGAACCAAGCAGTTTTTCTTGTGTACCTCATCCCTCAATAATTGTCTGGGCCACATCACTCATCAGCTCTCCTTCACGCAGCTGGGTCAGATACGTAGGTACTGTAGATATAGTCACGTACCTATTGAGTACCTACCTACGTAGGTAGTGTACAAGTACGCAAATGTGATGGGATCCGTGGGATGTGCACGCTCTTGCTGCGTTTGACGACCTCTGGTTGGCCTATTCTTGTCTGATTACGTAGGTGGGCAGGGATGTAGAGGATTGAATGAGCCGTGCTTCCTGCTTTCCTTTGCAGCGGGTGACTTGCTCCAAACAAGCTCCTATTCCTGGGTTTCATTTGGGTTGCCAGTGCCCGCTGCGTTCTTGTCGTCTGCAAAATCACGTAGCTGTCACCATTTCTCGAATGCCCGTCAGCAGTGGGTAGCTGGGCGCGTTATTGGGTACACTGAAGCAGAACAATATGACACGGCACATTGTTTCGTTGCCCCGGACTTCGACCTTTGGTTCCAGCTAATTAAGCAAGTCCATCACAAAACTGAAATATAAGAGTTAAGTACCTTCTCTCGCTTAGGGTGTTGCTGTCATACACTATGGGCACAATTCCGTTCTGGCCTAGACAGCAAGTGGCGTGTCTGCAGTTGGTGCATGAAAAAGGTAGAGATAAAAGTGCTGTGCGCTTCCCTTGGACTTTGGAAGAGATACCAGGCTCAAAGGCAAAATGGGCATCTGAGAGAAGACAATGCGGCGTGGATGAAGTCCACTCCAGGCAACAACGAAAAAAAAAAACGAAAAAAAGCGCCTCCCTCTACTCAGTAGAATCAAATCCCCATTCGCTCGTATGCAGGCATCTGAAATCATGGTTGCATAATCTACACGGCAGCCTCGGGAGTTCCAGCACATTTATATGCAGACGGTTGATTTTGATTTCCTTTCACCAGTACATGATTGGAGAACCACTACAGACGGTACTTGGGTTTCAATGCCCTTAATCGTCTCGACATCGAAGCTCATTCACCCAAAGGTCCCGAAAGCGCATAGTTAGACCTTTTTTCTCTCTCTCTCTCTCTCCCTACCTTCGCCCGCACCCGGCTGGAGTGCCGCATTAACATATCACTGTGTGCTGGCACACTATCTTCTGTTTATCGTTGATCATATTCTGATCCACAATGAGCGTAGGGTACGTGAAGAAACTCCCTGCCCAGTATGAACGGGACTCTTTTACAATACTAAACGGGTATAATAAACGCATAACCAGGTATTAAGAGCACATTACTACATAAAGCGCTTACAGATGGCCCGGGTCTTCACGAATCTAATTGGTTTTTAAATTCCACCTACTTTACTTTACGCCCGGTGCTACCCGCTTTGGGAACCTTGAGAACTCTGCACAACGATAGCAATTGGCTCTGATTATTTGCCAAGTCCAACATCATCCCGTTTTCATTTCACTTCAGTCACCAAGTAACTCACATTCACACAGAGCCACCCACATTCTGTTTCGCAATGGCTTCCACAGAGCATCTCGCCAATCTTACTGCTCTGGTGGTTGACAACCTTCGAGACCAGCACGACTGGACCGACGTTGAAATTCGCCACGACGGCAGAGACCGACCACGTCCTATCATCACCGGTCTACCGCCATCTCGTCTTTACATGCACCCGGACGAGCAAATAGAGACTCTTGAGATCGAACAGATGACCGGTAAACGTCCAAGCCAGGCCCCCGAGTTTGAATGGATTCTGCCGGTTCATCTCAGCGAGCGATGGACCTTGAGCTCTTTTGCTACCATTTTTGACTCGATTGAAGCTCTGCCACACCCAGTTAACTCGGAAGCAAGTCATGGTACGTCTTCACGACGGGACTGGCGCGGCGTGGACCGCCAAAAGAGGCTACTACTCGCCGTGGTCCACGATGACTCAACGGTCGCCTACTATCTCATTCACGATGGCATTGTTAAGCCAAGGCAGAATTAGAGCCTCAGTTGCCAGGCTGTTTTTCATTCAACCAATATCCCCTGCCGCTAGTTCTGAGAGCCTCTTTCAGTTACCTGGCCCAGCTTGAACCTTGATATCGCGACGAGGTCTCAGCAAGATCGACCCCCCTGAAAAGAAAAAATCATGGTTTGAAGATGATCTTCTGGACCTTCATCTGGTCAAACAGCGCATATCCTTCAACGGCCTCGTTCAATGGCATTATATGGTCAAACATGAATCTGGACTATGTTAGCTGGCTGAAAGGGGAGAGAAAACGGCCAGGGTCCTCGACTGCGGGAGTCGTTGCGCTGTCGATCAAGGAAGTACGCACCCGAGTTTGTCATGCCTTTTTTCCAACAGAGCTAGAGCTTCAGGGAAGATGGCCCGAACAGGACATCGGCCCATTTGCAATCTCAGATTTTTGCTATCGACGCTGTTAGCGCAAAGGACAAAGCTTTCGAAGCTCGGGTTGGCCACGCTTACTCATATGCTTCCGTGCCCGTCCATGGAATCTACATTGTTCGTCAGCCCGATCTCTCACATCACAACTTTTCTTGTTACAAACCTCGCCGTTGTGGACCCCGATGCTGGCAATAACGCCCCATGGCCTGACAATGTCGAACGCTGTTCTGAGGGCGGGACTCAAGCCAACGACCTCAATCACAACGTCGGCCCCACGACCCTCAGTTACCTCTTTGATTCGCCTCTCCATGCCAGCACGGTCCGTCTTGAAGTTCAAGGGCTCCGCGCCAAGGTTTCTGGCGATTTCCAGACGACTGTCTACACTGTCAATGGCAAAGAGGTGCTTGGGACGGTGCTCAAGTGCGGATATTACGGCACAAAGACCGACGGGCCCGCATCCAATGACAACCGCGGTTGCATTGGATCTCTCTTCCTCTTTAAGTAAGCTGAATCCAGACTTGGCGCCGAAGAAGCCGGTTGGCCAAATATCTGCCATGAGCACCAGAGCATTGTCGGAGATGGTACTTGGGGCCTTCATAGCCGTTCCGTCGGCATCAGGTATACGCACGTATTCGGCCTGTCCACCGTCTAGAGCACCGCAGCCAAATAGCTTGCTGCGAACACAGCGGGATGTGTAGTCGTTTTTGCAGTAGAAGCATTGCATGCTGAGCGGGAGGATGTGAGAATCGGCAAAATCGCCAGGGAGGTGAACTTCTGGGAAAGCTTACCACGACGTGGTGAAGGGAGATACAACCCTGTCGCCGATGTTCAACGAGGTGACAGACGCGCCCTTCTCAACGACTATGCCGGTGAATTCGTGGCCCATAATGAAGCCCGTTTCGGATGGCTGGTGGCCACGAAAGACATGTAGCTCCCTTGGAATCTATGAGTTTGGGGAACTGCCGTAGAACGAAACAAGACCGTCTTACGAGCCGCACAGAGCTGTAGCCTGGACCTTGACAATGACATCGCCATCATCTTGAACTGTTGTACTGGTTAGTGAAAATAAATAGTCAAGATAATGGCTATAGAGGGTAGGAACAGGGGTGACGCACGGGTAGGGATGGGACGTCGCTCAACGGACACATTCTGCGGTCCGTTGAAGATGACGGCACACATAGAACTCGTGGCGGGCATGGCGGGGTAGGATGAAAGAGGCTCTGTCTGGATCGCGAAACAACAGCAAGTTGGCGATGGAGTGGCCAAGACCCTGCTTTGATACAGGCTGCAAGTACTGACTGTTAAAAACAATCAAGACTCTGGCGAGGATGATGAAGAAGTCAAGGCACCTGGGGGCAAACTGCCACGATATTGGTGATCAACAAAGCAGTGATGGTGGGGTGTGTTGAGGCATTTGGGGCGGACTGCCCACAGCCTCCCACCATGCGCATGCACGCCGGTTCCGCTGATGCCACCGTTCATCGGAGCATCACTGTGCGAGTGTGCGCGCACACAGTCGGCGTGGGCGTGGAGCCGGCTATCTGAGCAGAACACCTCACAGTGGGGTTGAGGAGCAATCATACATGAACTCGACAAGCGATTACCTTGGATTACAAATGTTGAAGCAAGTAATTTACACGAGTATATGGACGTCGGCAGATATCTGTCGAGATCAGGAGTAGCGAAAAAACGAGTGTGAAATGCTTCTTGGACAGCGAGGAGATGCATAAGAGACAAGGTCACCGGCGACAACTTGGTCAGGAGCCGAGGAAACTGAGTAGTCCAGCGGAGGGTATAATAACCACTATAATATGACTGCCATAATCCGTATTTATGCGGTTGGTCCTGGAAGTCCGGATTTTCCGCTCGTCTCGCGCGACGGGAAGATGGGATGGGATGGGATGGACGGCATTACGAGCGGTCCTTGCAGATGTCGCGTCAGAGGATGAGGCTCATATTGATTAAGATGATCTTCTGGGGGAGGGGCTTTAATCCAAGCGACTGGCTACAGCGTTCCCGGTTTAGTATAGGGCGGGCAATGAGAATGAAACATGGGGTTATCAGTGTCAAACCCTCCCCCAAGCGAGCAATTCAATCAAAACATGGATGGCGCGCCGTCGCAACTTGGTCTGCGCGGGAAACAGGGCCTTCTTTCATATGTCGCGAGAAAGAGAGAAAAAAAACATGGTTTGAATCATCGGCTGGGTGAGGTAGGTATCTATCCAGCTACCGACCAAACCACCGACCTGCCTACTAGATAGATATGTAATTCAGACACTCTTACTCTATACGTACTTTAATTAAGGCTCAATCCAAACCATCATCATCTAACGGGCGCCAGCAACCGGGGATCGCCTGTTCGCTGAAGAACACGCGGTCCAGGGTACCTAAGGCAAGGTAAGGGACAAAAGTCCCTCAAGGGGCTCTAAAAGCACAAGCTTGGCGGTAAAACGGCATGCGACCGCTTTCGAGGACAGGAAGATAAGAGGTGCTGGGGAGGAAACTCCGTACGACATCATCTCGGGCTATTCGAATTCCTTGCCAGGATTGTTCACCCAACGCAGAGACAGGGGCGCCTGTGCGGAAGGAAGTCTAGGACCTAGTTTGAAATATGCTTTGTCCTTGACCAGCCAACGTCGGCAGGCAACGTGGTCTTCCGCGATTCATTTCTGGCTTCAAGGCACCGGAAAAGCGGCTGAGAGACCACGTTAGGGACATCAGCTGGGGAAAGCAGCTTTCGTGCCTTCGACTCGGCCAGAGGCGGGCACCGAAGTCGAAGAGAGTAAGCGCAACAGTGGCCCAGCCCCAGCCCCAAGCCGCCGTGGTGCGATGGATCATCGTGTAATCCGATGGCTGGGCGGTTCCACGAAATCTACAGATGCATTTGCGTTCCCTTCCATCGCCCAAGGAGGGGGGGACGAAGAACAAAAAAGGTTCGGCTGGGGTCCCGATTTTGCCTCGTCACGTCGTCCAATCATAACCATCAGATGGAGCCGCCCTTGGCTGAGCCGTCTTGTGGATTGAGGCTTAGAGGCTTACTATGTAGCGTCTCGGACGCATGGGTCAATCTCGGGGGTTATAGTGGATCACCCGAGATGCCATCATGGCCATTGGACGGACGCGGCACGGCAAAGCCAATCGCAGGGCAGGCGTCTCGAGAGGGTGGGACTTCAGAGGTCGTTGGAGACCAGCCAAGAAGTGTGGGGAAACGAGAGTTGGCATCTGCACCTCTCAGTACACACCTGCCTCTACCTGCACCACGCGCCTGCAGTCCGCACCCAGGAGAGAAGGATATGGGCCGAGAAAGGGTTCTACGACGACATGGAATCGCGGGGACACACACGAGACAGAGCAGAACGGAAAGCGAAACAGATATCGGGTGACTGTCGGCGCACGGCGGAGAAATTGCGCCTTCCAAAGAAACAGAGTTTACACCGGCAGCCACGACGTAATGGTTCTGGCGAAGTCTCGTCAATTAAGGCATGGCCGGCTCTGGCTTGGGTCGCAGAATATGGCTGGTGTATATTGGCTTATTTTGTTCCGTGTTTCTACTTGGTACTCTTCCCACGGGAGTCTGGGGATCATCGCAGTTGTCGTGGACACCGCCATCAGTCTATGGATTGCGAATATCAGCTTATCACTGCGCGAGTCGGTGTCTTGAAAGTATATGATAGGCAGCGTGTGATTGAATACGGACGGACCGAGTCCCTCACGCGATGTGCGGTCCGAAGATGGTGATAGGTACCGCCAATACTGGTGGTTATGAAAACAAGGTGGCCTCTTCCAATACGCAACGGAAACTCTCAGGGAGGGGGGAGAAGTGCAGAGCGATGAAGTGCGGTGCCATGGACACCAGCAACCAGGGGGTATGCCCCCCCCCCCCCCCCCCCCCATACATCAGGTTCAGCCTCCACTTCCATCCCGTCCGCCCATCCACTGCATTGGGTGCGGCTATTTGGGAGGCTGCGTGGTAATTGAGGTCATTCTGCACAAGGTAGTGCCTCAAGAGGGACTTGTCTTGTGTCAATACCTTGATACATGGTAGTGCCGCTGCCGTTTCGTCGGCCCCAGAAGTCGAGACCAGGAGTCTACCTAAACACATAGGATGCGGAAGAGACAAAGTTGCCGCCTGTTCCTTCCATCCATGCATCAAACCCAACCGGGAGGCGGGAGGGGACTTTGCGTGATTGTGAGTGTGATTAAGGTGGAGTTGCGATGCCGTCTTGCCGGGGTTGATTCCCGACTTTTGGAAAGCCTTATTGGGAGCGAAGGAAGGACGGATGGGAGACCGGTGGGGGCTGGGTGGATGGAGGGGAAGGAAGGGTACCAAGGTGGAAGAGTCACGCACGCCCTGCCTTCATTTTTGGCGGGAATGGGACAGGTAGGTACTTTACGGTATTAATGCATGTACGGAGTACCGACCTGCAAGTTCCGTTCTTCAGTCTTCACTGGTGAGGAGGCTCCCCCCTCCCTTTCCCCTCACCGTCCCTCCAGGCGGCCTTCCCCTCCTGCCATCATCTCATCCAATAACCCCAATCCCCGTCCAATAAGTGTTCCATCCAATCTGGCGACTTCTCATCTGGCCTCCGTCTTTTCCGCTCACATTATATCGCACCCTTCTTTTGTTCTCTAATCTCCGTTTTGGGTTTCTACGTCCACGTCCGCGGCCTCATCCCCGTCCCATCCATCGCCCCGTGTCAGTTACTCACCGTGCAGCCTAGGAAAGTATCCTCTGTCGACGGGCTGTACTGTACCGAACTAAACTAGTCATCCCCGCCTGCAAACCTACTAACTCGGTCGGGCTCTAGACGCCGTACGTTCGCACAGTTAGTTGTTGCCCTACAATGTACAATCGCTGCCCCTGCCGCCGCCGCCCTCAGCTTTCTGCCATGTCGTTTGAAAGGGCCAACCAACTTTCAGTCAGCACCCAACGAGTGCGAGTCAACGCCGCCTGCTACCCGCATGATGTTATAGCAGAGTTGGTCACTGCGCGATGAAGCCCTTTCACTTGCCAAAATAACACGACCACTTGATCCCAGTACCTCTCTGGCCACGACCCTGCGAGACGTGCACGCGCCTTGGCTTGGGCTGGTTAGATATCCCACTCTGGCAAAGTCAGGGTACCTTGCGTCGTCTCAACCCTCTAAGCGCGTTGGGGCCAGGCCCGTTCTTGGCATCAGATCCCCTCGAGGAACCGAATCGAACTGGGGATACGACCCTCCCGGACACCACACTGTCGTCTCCTCGCAGCGGCCGGTAATGTTGTTCCCCCGCGGTCCCCGGCGAACGAATGCCACCAACTTGCGCAACTGTCAATACGACTCTGCTGCTAGCAGACCCGGCATCCCGGCATATCAATCAATTCAGCCATGCCTCGACCGTCGACAATGATAAGTGAGGTACATCCCTTCAGGCTCAACTGTGTCGGAATCGGACGTGTACCAATGTACATGCGCCCCCAGTGCTGTGTCTCCTGTCTTGCCTCACAGGGGGACCTTAGCTGACCCGACACCCTGACTTAGCCTCATCTTCCAAGGCGCCCACCCTTTCCCTACCTACCCCGTCTTTCCTCCCCAATCCCCATGCACGACCCTGGCCATCCGATATCTACTTCCTCAGCGACTCGGCATCTTGTCGTCTCTGTCGCTTCCACGTCCACAGGTCCTTCCTACCCATCGCTAGGGGTCACGCGGTCCCTCGAATCTATCTGTGGCATTGGGCGTATCTCTCATCCGCTCACAGAGATTATGCGCTAAAAGCAAACCATCTCACAGACGCGGGCTGGACGCTCACAACAAGAACAACCCTCTCCAGTTCCATCCCTTTCTGTCCTGGCTCTCTCTACTTTCTTTTCTTTCTGCTCTCCCAACCTCGGGCTGGCTAATACGATCCTACACGACTCTTCCATAGTCAACCTAGCGACAGACCAAGACGACGACAGCTACAGCGACAGTAACAGCAACAAGACTGACCTGTTAACCAGACAGTTACTTCGCCGCTCATTTGGCCACCCAACCAATCCCATCATCGCCTCTGTCTACCTCTTACCGTCTACGGAGTATACCGCCTACGTACCGCCAACTGTTTGCGCTCTCTCTCTCTCTCTCTCTCTCTCTCTCTCTCTCTCTCCATCCCTCCCTCACTTACTAACCCTCACTCGGGCTGCATCTGCATGGTTACCGTCCCTGGGCGCTCTCTTTTATCCGCCAAAGAATCAAGTACCCAACTGACTCTCACACTTGCTCCTCATTCACATTTCCACCCACACCCACTTACCCCACCCACCCCTGTCCAAGGCCACACCGACCTCCGTCTTCCGTCCTTGACATTCAAGCGCCGACGCATCCCATTCTCCAACTCCCGGCCGTCCTTCATCTTCTCAGTCTGGTCTCCGTATCTTTCTACTCGCGCCTCTCACTTGTATACTCGATTTCCTCAACGGCTGCCTAGCCCTCGGAGCCCACGACGGCGGCGATAGCTGTCCCGGGGCCGAAAACGCGACGCACACTTGCTACCACCGCCACTACCGGGACGGCCTGATCTCGCTTGCATCGACGCTTCCTCGTCGCTCTCTTCGGCCCCATCAGCCGCCGCCTTGCGAGCAGGAACCAGAGGAGTACGTACGACCCGCGGCACGTTGCGACAAACCCATACGGCTTTGCATGCCTGCTGTACAACTTGGCCTCATTGCTCCTATTGTCAACATTGTCGCTACTGCAACCACTGTCACAGTCCTAGTTGCCGTCTCCTGCCGCCGATACAATCACATACTGCCATTTCACTCCATGGCGGCTTAATACCGCCTGCGCTGCGAGCCACTACCACCTCCAGTCGCAAGAACTATGACTGCGTCAGCTGTTCAAAGCCACTTGCAACAGCCAGCTGGGAGCGATTGCTACGACCCCGATGACGTTCTTTCGCACGACAGCCCACGAATGCAAGCTCACCGTCCCAGGTTACAACCCTCGCCTAGCCCTCCGCCCGAACTCGGCCCCGTCTCGAAGTCATTGCACGGTCGCCGCAGGGTTGGGCCTATCCAAGGCGATGCCGTTCTAGTAGCTCACCTTGGAAACGGCAGGCTACCAGACGTCGCCCACAAAGCTGCTCTGGAGCCTCTCGCCTCTGACAACGGGTCCGAAGACGATTCATCCTCCCCAACGTCTCCCGATCGCGACATGGCCAGGACAGCTGAGCCTTTCGATCTCAAGATCCTTGCGGCTGGCGCCTTAGCATTCAGCGCGACCGACGCTCCTGCTACAGATGCGATCGCTGCTGCTGCGACATCCAAACTCAACCATTCACGCCCAGAAGATAGTTCAAGAGCTCAACACGATTCGATACCTTCAGGGATTGGAAGTCGCCAACTACCCATCCGCGATGAGCGCCCAGCTTTGGCTGCCCCCGCCGTAGTTTATTCTGCGGGGGACCACCATGCGCCACGCCGTTCCGTGCCCAGTCTAAGCAACGCCGAGATCACGTCCCCAATAAGCCCCTCACAATCTGCGCCTAGCGGCCTGCCTCCCCTTCTGGATTCACCTACTTCAGATGGAAGTGGGCACGGCCCATTGCCGTCTATAAGGGCGCAACTTGGGGACTTCAAGGATTTCAAGCGTTTAGCAGAGACTGCCATGAGCCCGGAGAACGAGCTAGGACCCGTACGACACGCGGCTACATTTCCAAGGTCGCCTCCGGCCAATGTTCCTCGATTGCCATCGTTAGCCGGGCTTCCAATCAGTCAGGCTTCGCCACCAATCTCCCCCAATGAAGGCTTTCGAAGAGAGCTCCCATCACCCGCACATAGCATACCTTCTCTCAGCCCATATTACTATTCGTCTTCCTCAGGCGGTGGTCGTCACCGGCCGAGTGCCGACTACAGTAGCGGGACAGCAGAAACCCCGAGCACGGACCAAACCGTTTCAACACCCGCCCACTCCGTAGCAGAACGCATGAGCATCGATGGTCTTACAAATCCTCAAGCTGGCTACGTCTGCACGTTCTCAGGGTGCAATGCTGCGCCTTTTCAGACTCAGTATCTACTCAATTCGCACGCCAACGTGCACTCGTCGGCGCGGCCTCACTACTGCTCAGTCAAGGGTTGTCCTCGAAGCGAAGGCGGCAAGGGCTTCAAGAGAAAGAACGAAATGATAAGACACGGTCTTGTTCATGATTCCCCCGGATACGTTTGTCCTTTTTGCCCGGACCGAGAACACAAATATCCTCGGCCAGACAACCTTCAGAGGTAAGATTACTCCCAGCCACTTGGCCTCATCGCACCGAAGCAAACATTTCTATCATCTTCCGCAAGAAACGGTCGCTGCTGCTCTATTGCCATTTCAGTCCCATTTTTTTAGTCAATCACATTTAGGGCTTGGCTAATCAAGTACACAGACATGTTCGTGTACACCATGTGGACAAGGATAAGGACGACCCGCTTTTGCGGGATGTCCTGTCACAGAGACCGGATGGACCGAATCGAGGTAGGCGGCGTAGAGGAGGCCCTGCCTGACATGAAACTCGGCGTGTTTTCATGATCTTCACGTATATACCCTTTTTCTTTTCTTTTTTTCCTTCTCCGTACTGCGCTTCTTTGATTTCTTTTTGGGCTGTGCACTCCACCATCAACACTCTATCATCAGCATCAATAACTTTGGGTTGGTATGGCTGAAACAGGCTCCAGGACAAGGTCTAGTGTAAATAAGGGAAGGGGTTTGGAGGCTTTGGAACGATACCTGCGGTTTACATGCTGCTGCTTTTTCTTGGTTATGGTTTACTTTTCCCTTGCGGGAGGTGGTGGCAATCATTTGTTTTGACATATGCCCCCAGGGCCCTTGGAATTGGCACGGCACGATTTCATGACGGAGCTCTTTCTGTCTCGATTGCGAGATTATGGCGTTACGGTGGATTATATACCACATTGACGAGTCGTTCGCGTGACGTCACGTTCTGCCTTTTATTCTATCTTTTTCGCCTCCCCCCTCCTATTGTTTCTTCGTCCTCCAGGACTTGCCGTTCCTCTGATGCAAGAGGCTGTTGTCTTATAAAGTTTCCCTTGCGCGCCCGTATACGTGATCAATTGCGATAGCGGTTGGAGTCTATTATAGGCTACATTCATCTCAGCTGGATGAGGGTGGCTCTCTTTCTCAGGTCGTAGGGTTTTTTTTTGGGGGGGGGGGGGGGGGGGGGGTGGTTGTGTGTGCATCTGTACGAAGTGTGGCCGATCTTTGACAATTTACATCATCGAGCTGAGCCAGATGCTTGAACATCCTTTCTGTCTCGTGCCAGCCTGAGTCTTTCATTTCCTTCGCTGTGCTACGAGAGGCCTAACCATCGACGATTTGCCAGTCACCGACGTGAACCGCATTGTCGCTGAGAAACTCCACTTCGATGCCTTGGCGGCCTTGTTGGCTTCCGAGCTGTTCCACGACGAGCCATAGTTGGTCTTGTCGTAGACGGTCAGGCTCGAGGTCGAACTCAGGTGTTCGGACTGCCATTGTAAGCTCCCGGAACTCGCCACCGCCCGAAATGGCAAGCACCGATTCCTCGGGTCCCCTTCCGTACACGAGGGAGATGCGGACGGCTGTCGTTGGGATATGTTGACCGTTCCGTGCAGTTAAGAGAGGGCAACGGGCAACAACTTGGGCCCGAGAGAGTCTTGTCACCGTGACGGGCGCTCGTCTTTTTTCTTCTCCCTCACTGAAGGCGATGGCCGGTGTGCGGGTCCGCAATAGGCCAGCGCCGTCGCTCAGAACGGGCTTTATCTCGCATTCCACCTGAGAGCCTACGCGCATACCAAAGTCGGCAAGTTGTCCTGGCTCCCACGTCGAGCAGACAATGGTATAAGTGCCAGGCTCCACCAAGGGAACCTGCACGAGAGCGTTACCTCTCCGATAGTCGCCAGAACTGGACACAACATCCTTGACGCCAATTGATGTGACTCTCTTGCCGTGAGCCCAAACCAGATCGACGTGGATGGCCACCTCCCGATCCCCTGACGAAAGAAGAATGGAAAGCGGCGTGGCTCTCGGAATTAGTATGCTGAACTGGGGGTTTTGTGAGTACGTGATGAACGAGGCGTTGCCTCCCGCAGTCCTCCTCGTCCAGGCACTCGAAAACTCTTTGTAGTGCAGCATCTCTTCCTCGGCAGGCCTAACCTCGAGGGCCGCCCGCGAGAAGAGAGTAAACGTGCACGAGTAGGCGTCTAGCGGCAGGTCCTGGTGGGCCATGACAATAGTATAGGGCTTGCCGGGGCGAAGCTTAAACTTGGCCAGTGTCTGCGGCGAGTCCACATAGGGACCCTGGTACACGAAGCCCTCTCTCACTTGCACCTTTTTACCTCCGCTCTCAAAGATGAAGATGCTCGTGAAGCCTAGCTGCCTTGATACCGCCGCTAAAGAAGCCGACTTGCTGCGTGCAATGTCGAGCTCTTCATCTGCAAAGTGTCGGCTCAGCAGGATCCATACTGTCTCTCCGCTACGTGAGAGTACTGAGTATTGCGGGTTGTGTGCGAGGGAGGATGTCATATTCTTGGTCGGCACGCGCCACGTAAAGTGATGATCCTGCCGGTGTGTGAACATGTCCGGATTCCAGTTGAGGTACATGGACTCGAAGTTTTGGGCAACATCCTCGACCGAAATCCAGAAAGAGCCAACTGGCCTTGAATGCACCGACGACGCTGGCTCGACTGACACAGACGTGTTCACCAGCGACATGGCCGCCGATTTTTCGACAAGTCCGGATGACCCGACGCCCTTCCAGACAAGACCATCACACCACGGGTTCTTCACAAGAAGCCGGCGGGCTCCAGGTGCGCAATCAATCTCCAGTACTGCATAATCGTGCTCACCAACAAGGCCTAGGGCATCTTCTTCCGATTGGGTCAGCCGCCCAGTGCCCAATGTGATGATAAGGTTGCCAGCATGATACGCCTCCCTGATGCTGTCCCATGTGCCTTCAAGGTCAACGTCCTCGCTGTGGCTTACCATTAGTTACAATCAGTCGATCGCCGCTGAGCGGGATTGTACGCACCTCTGGAGAAACAACTGTTCAGGTATCCACCCGGTGATAACCCATAGATCTGTGCCTGAGTTGCTGCCAGGAAAATCATAGCCTCCACGGACCTTGAGATAAGCTTTTTCTAAGAGGGCGGGCCAGAGCAAATTGGGATTCTTGCGATCAACGACAAACAAGGCACGGTTATTCCGGGAGACAGGTAGCCGGTCATCCACAACGACCTGGCGAAAACAACCGTTAAAGTGCATGCGGAACATGTACTTGCCATTTTGAGATATTTTGGGTCGCCTTTTACCGTGGTCATATGGAAACATGATAGAACTGAGGATCTGGCCGAAATAGTTAGCGATATCCCGATGCCAGGATCCCATCACAGTTGCCGACTGACCGACCGTCTATCACCTTGGAGAATCTTCATGGCAGCACACAGACTGGCTACAACTGAGCAATCCGTTGTGACATCTTGGACAAGGTCACAATCGCTTTCCGAGGCCATGAAATCCCTGTCTACGGTTTCTTCTCTGGCATGCTCCACGGGTCGTTTCCAGCCTTCAAGGATAGACTCTTGCCGAGGAGACATGGTGTATTTTGCCGGGTCACTGGTTCACGAGAGTGAGTTTCCCCGTCGATGCGGCTTTGCGCGAGCAGGAAAAGTGAGTGGTCTGACGTACGAGAAGACATGTTCCTCTTCAGGCAGGGAGAAAGTGCTGTCAACAGGGTCAGACTGCCAGGGCGGGAAGATGTTGCCGTGCAAGCGAGAGGAGCGCAGTAGAATGGCCCGCTCGCTGGAAGGTATCTGGCGCACCTGACAATCAGGGTTCGATGTCGAGGTGATGACAGCCATAGCTTTGGTTGTGGTCGCAGGAGCGTTCCTGGACGAGAACTTGAGTTGCTCAGCATGAGTAATGAGCCCCTCGCACTTTTTTCTAAAACGAACGCGGTCGGCGGATGAAGTGGCTTCTTTGGCAGCCTTCATGTACAAGTCGGCAGCGGCAATCGCATGATTCAAGGCCTCGCGACCCGACGATCTGGCCATCAGGGCCTCTTCTCTCTGCATATTAGGACAATTGTCAATAAAAAACAGCTTGCAACATAGGTTCCATCTTCGTCAGATTCTCACTTACGATAGCTTTAGCTTCCATCGTTCACACCAAGCAGCATTGCCGAAATAGGATCCAACGAGTGAAGTAGAACAGGTGTGGCGATGCAGGTTGCGCCAGTGTCAAAATGTGTCAAACAGGCTAGGCAATCGAGCATCAGTGGGCCAACATCGACAGTATCAACAGGTCACCGAAGTCCCTTGTCATGAGAGCCAAGACCTGGTGTTATGAGTGCTTGAGATTATCCGATGGGCGTTGAGAGGTGGGGCTGAGTGGAAGAGGAAATAAAGGACTCCGTCGCTGCTTTCTGAGCCTCCTGGGGACGATTCTCTGTGTCTTCTGACTCTCCACCTCTACAACACAGGAATTGGCTTACGCCGATGGTCTGATCTTGGGCTCAGTTTCGTGGGGGCAGCGGCGGATCTGCTCGCGGGGGAGGGGTCGATGGATTAGTGAGAGGAGTGAGGAGTTGGACTGTGGTGGGACTAGACGGAACGGAGCGGACGCTCGATTGGGGCTGTGCAAAACCAAATCGGCTTATAGCAGCAGAGTTGGAATTGTCGAGGCTTAACGACCGACGACAACGGGTCAGATCAGACCAAAAGACAAACGATGGATAGAGGCAGTCCCAAGCCGGACCGGGTCGGACTGTATGCCGTGGCCAAGCAAAGCCGCCAATGTGAGATGATGGAGATGAAAGAGGGCGAGCCAAATGCGACGACAAATCAGAAGGCGGGTTGGCGACTTCGGCCAAGAGGCGCCTGTCGGGGAGCTGGGCTTCCGGGGAGAGGGGTTAAGTTGGCTTAGTTGCTGTTGTGTTGGCGGAGAAAAGACATGTGTGCAGCTGTTGGATGACCGTGAATTCAGGGAAAATGGCAATGAAACTGGCCGTTTGGCTTGGTGCCTATTTTCAATAATAAAGAGTTGATTCCCAAAGCACCTTGTGCGAGTGCCCCCTCCACGCATTCTAACGTATCCAGTTATCCAGCTAGGAGCCACTACCACCTAGGTACTAGTGTAATTGTTGCTTTTCAGGCGACATAGCGTAGCCCAAGGCTTAACCGTTTGACTTTCTAGGCTTACATGTAATTATCCGTAGTACTGTGTTCTGTGTACTGCAACAGGCATCGTTACTTCAGGACGCACTGGGCGGGTGAAAACAGATGATGCCTCAAGGACCAGAGTCTGAAGGTGGAACAAAGTGCAAGTATCCAGGGAGGAGAAGAGGGCGAGATGAGCAATGACATTTCGCAGTAAAAGCCTAGACATGGATGAGTTGGGAATATTGAAACAGGCGGGGCCACAGTATCAGTGTCATCTAGGCGCAGGTCTGACAACAACTCCTTTCATGACTTGCCCGGCGTATCGTAGTCAGTTAACCATGCTTACCAGCATCCTCTGCCGTTTCGCTTTTGCCTTGAGAATGTAGATTGGACCAACCCTGCCAGCCCCATGTTAGCCAGGCGGCCCTCACTAGCACATCCAGCTTGTCAAGACAACCTAATAGACGCTGGACGGCCTATCTTGTCGAAATGATTATGCAATTCGTGCCGAGCAAAACCAAAATACCTGGAAGGGGAGCAATTTGGTTGTCTGTCCCTCCTCCTGATGAATTCGACTCGGAGGATGTTACTCGGACATACATTACTTGGTGTGTGCACACTCGCTGGATTGCGCATGAAAACCACAAGCGACTTATCTTGGAGACGGACCCTCTCAGACCTTAGATAAGCAGTCTTTCTGCCGAAACCCCACTGGGTGACCTCACCGATTAGCCGAGCGCTCCTATGGCGGTGGTCACAAAGGCCGAGGTCGTCGATTCGAGCGCCAGCGCAACTGCGCAAGTGCCAGTGTCGCGTCGGCGGCAGCTCGTCATGGTCATGGGGGAAAGCCCGCCCACGAAAGCGCTTAAAGTTTGGACCCTTCGTCTCGTGCAGCGCATTTCAAGAGATTTGACTTCCTCCTACTGTCGGCGACTTCTATATTGCTGATTAACTCGCACACGCAGCGGTTCGATTGCCGCGTCAGATTGCTTTCCGCCGTCGTTAGGATCCAAGGTCTCCTTGCTCGCCCCGCTACCGCTCTACCTCGGATCTCGACCAGTGCTGAACGCCGACGCCGACGCTGCTACCGACAAGGAATTGGCGACCCCCTCCCCCTTGGTAGCAACCTGTCCAGTCGTTGGATTGGCAAGAAACCCGGCCAGTTCTATTCAGCATCTAGTGAAGGATTCTTACGATGGCTGCGCAGTCCAAATCAGCACCCATCTCTCCATGGGGAAAGGCTGTTGCTGGCGCATCCGGCGCTGTGCTTGCTAACGCCTTGGTGTACCCTCTTGACATGTGAGCATTGCAACGGCCATAATGTCACGCCTACATTCTACCTCCTTTTAATCTAGCACAATCCGACTCATGCCTGTGCGGCATCACCCTGCTTTTCATGATTGGATCTGGCTGACAAGTCTTCTGAAAAGCGTCAAGACGCGTCTCCAGGTCCAAGTCAAACCCCCGTCCACCACAGTAACGACTGACCCGACCGACCCCGTTGAGTCTCACTACTCGTCTACTTGGGATGCTTTGAGCAAGATCGTTGCCGACGACGGCCTCAAAGGTCTGTATGCCGGCATGAGCGGCTCTCTCCTCGGCGTTGCTTCAACCAATTTTGCCTACTTCTACTGGTACTCTGTCGTTCGTGCCCTTTACCTGCGCTCGGCCAAGACCTCTACGCCACCTTCAACAGTGGTTGAGTTGAGTCTTGGTGCCGTTGCAGGTGCCGTCGCTCAGCTCTGCACGATCCCCGTCGCCGTCATTACGACCAGACAACAAACCCAGCGAAAGACGGAGAGGAAAGGGTTTGTCGATACTGCCCGAGAAGTGATAGACGGAGAGGACGGTCCTTTTGGCCTGTGGAGGGGCTTGAAGGCGAGCTTGGTACTGGTCGTCAATCCCGCCATCACCTATGGCGCCTACGAGAGACTCAAAGAAGTCTTGTTCCCTGGAAAGCACAACCTCAAGCCGTGGGAGGCTTTCCGTATGTCGCCCCCTCTCGTCCAGATTTACATCACATGCACGGACATGCACGGCTCTTGTACTTGGTTCTTGCTGACGCTGATGTAGTCCTCGGCGCTGCCTCCAAATCGTTGGCAACCATTGTCACTCAGCCCCTCATCGTAGCCAAGGTAGGCCTGCAGTCCCGGCCTCCGCCAGAGAGAAAAGGCAAGCCATTCAGCAGCTTCGTTGAAGTCATGAACTTCATCATGGAGCGCGAGGGGGTCTTGGGTCTCTTCAAGGGTATTGGACCCCAGATTCTCAAGGGCCTTCTCGTTCAAGGCATTCTCATGATGACCAAAGAGCGGTAAGTGTGGCTCCGAACTACCCCTGCTAGGGGATGATGCGACAGATACTGACTTCATAACCACAGCATGGAGCTGTTATTTGTTCTCTTTATCCGCTATCTCAGGACCCTTCGTACGAAGCAGTTACAGGCCATTGCCCAGAGCACCGCGGCGGTTCGCAGCACATCCTCGGTCAAGCCTCTTTGAGGGGCGAAGAGGACCTCGAGCCGCATTTGACAGGTGAAGAGTATTGTATAGCCAAGGTATCAAGAGCCAGGGCAATGTGATTAATGGAATCATGTATGGTAAAGCTGGACAATGTCCGACGGACCTGGATGGAATCGGTCGCATGCGGGTTGGGTCAGATTGATGATGAGCGAAGCAAGCTAGGGGCTAAGGGGAAAGGAGTCAAGTCACTGCAACACACACGATGGGATAGGTGTCTAACCGCTACGCCATCCGGGAGCAAAATGCATTGCCTATGTTCCGAGCTTTGTATTTGATATGCTTCCTTCCTCCTAGTAAAGTTGTATGTGAACCCAACCAATTCCCCATGCGTAGGTACCTATGTAAGTACCAGTGTGTGTTAGTCATCATTCTGCAGTGCTAAAACAACCCACCCTGTGACTCCCGCCACCTTTTTGTTCGCACGCATCATGGCGTCCACCCGCCACAGTGTGGCGCTCGGCAGACAAGACAGACCGTTAGTTAGGGCACGCAAATTTCGATTCCCCACCACAACGTTCGTCCCTGCCCACGCGCACCCACGGCAAAGAGACTCGATATCCTGACTTACTCGAAATCCCCCGATCTCACCCACGAACTTCAGACTTCAGTATCCAAAGTTAGGGGCACCTTCCGACCGCAGCAATGGCCAGTACGTCTACGATCTTTTCTCCTGATTCTGTCTGTCTGTCTACTACCCAAACGGTCTGACTAACTTCAACCAACAGAGTCCAAGAACTCCTCGCAGCACAACCAGTCGCGCAAGGCGCACCGTAACGGGTACGATTGAACCTTCCAACCCTGTTGCCTCAGGCGAATCAGTCCCATTGCCTAGCTCGGCGACCAAAGAGAAGGGAAGAAACAGAAGAAACAGACCCGAATGCTGACATTGCCACTTTTTTCCCGTATGCAGTATCAAGAAGCCCAAGACCTCGAGATACCCGTCGCTGAAGGGCACCGATCCCAAGTTCCGCCGTAACCATCGCCACGCGCTGCACGGCACCATGAAGGCTCTGGTACGATCCCTTCCTGTCATGCAACAATCCCGATCATCATGGTTTCGTCTACGACAGCTACTGATATAGTCTACAGAAAGAGTTGAAGGAGGGCAAGCGCGAGACGGCATAGACGAAGAGGTGTGCTTGCAGTTATTGGTCTCTTCTACGGCACGGCTACAACGCATTGGGGCATTAGGGAATCAAATGGAACTGGCATATGAGACACGACAGCACGAATCAATCTACCACGATTCGATCCTCTGAGTTCCTCTCTATACGTGTTCAAAGAGATGTCTCCTGTTATCACTGCTCCCTTGCGGTCAATGATTGGCTTTGAAACCCTATTCTGCCTTGAGGGCTTCAGTTTCCTGGGCAGGATGAAAGCGCTTGACTCGGATTTCCAACTCTTGATATCATATGAAATTAAGGTTGCGACAGTGACGAAATAAGGCCGGATGTTGGGAGAGTATGAGCTTCATTGAGCAGTCGCAGTAACATCGCAGCTTAATACTTTTACATTTCAGGGTTGGGTCTATACGCTCGACACAAGCCTGCCAGAAGTTTGTTATGCCTCAGTGCGAATAATGATTGTATGGTTCCATGTGTTACTGACAACGGCTGCGATCAGCACATCTGCCTGGCTGACTTCTTTGTACATGGGGTAATAATGCGTCCGCACACGATGTCATGAACAGCTTTAGACGGATGTATCCACCGGCGTGGATGAAATAGAGGGCGCAGAAATGCAAACACAAAAGCAAACTCTAAGCAGATTAAAGGAGTTGAGTCTCCGTTGTGATGAGATACTACAATGTCTAATGCAACCCTGGTGGCAGAAGTGGGGCCTTTGAAATCGACCTTTCTCTTTCCAACCGTCGCCTACTATTCATACATTGCCATTTCCCTTGTCAGTGACCTCTTTTCAAGTTAGACTGCTAGCAGGTACATCCACCTGAGGACTTGATTACCGTATGCATACTGTGCATTGGGACCGAGTGCCTCCCCCTCATACCGGGTTCAGGTATCTGGCAGGCCGCTCCGTCCGAAGCTACAGGCAAGGTAGATTAGGGGAATAGACGCCGTGGAACACTCCTTTTAAGCCCCCTCCCCTGGCCACTGTCTACTTAGTAGTAGTGGACCCCAGGCCTCGTCTTGAAGACCCTTGTGACTAAGCTGTTCGCGCCACGTTGCTCAACCCTCCTTTCGTTCCCCTTCGTAGGCAGCTGTTACATGAACGAGAGTACGTCTCTTCAAAGCAGAGAAGAGACTTTGTCTACTTTTTTCCCCCTTTCCCTTCCCCCTCTCCCCTACCTTGCCACACCCCCTTTACTTGGGTAATACTCTTCAGACGACGCCAGTCTTGAACATTGTATTACCTGCCTGGAAGCAGCATTTCTTGAATAATTCCTGCCCGCTTGCCAGAGCATCCTACATTTGTTCACTTGCCCCTCACCTCCACTGGTTTCCCCAGTCAGCCTAGACTCGTTACTGGATACCAGAAAGCCCTCCAGAATTACACTTTCTCCTTCCCTCTCTCAGGACTGTCTCTTCACCTTTCGTCTACCCATCTCCCGCGACCCCGAGACATTACTATCTTGGGACCTCATTGAACCAGACCTAGCTGCTGTACCAAAAAGACATGTGTTAAGCAGGTCCCTCATTTGATCCCGACTCCTTTGAGGTCAGCAGGTTTCTGCAGGAGCTTTGGGTCACCGAAAACGTACCCTACGATTATCTATTTGCGCCTTCGGAGCTTTCCCGTCGCAACAAGGAGAAGAGGAAAAGAAAGGCGGAACCGCTTTTTGCTCTCAAGCAACGTCCCTTATTGCCAAACTGGGGATTGCGCCGAGCCTACATCTGCCATAGCTACACCGCAGTTCTCGTTCAACGAGTCTTCACTGGACTCGTTTGCCCACTGATTCGATCAACCCTGCCGTCATTGGAAATCTCGAAACAGCGCCGGTCCCTCATTGTCCGGGCCGACCCCCCTTCCATCGCCAGACAAAGACACGACACCCTTCACTGGCCACTGGTATCGTTTCATCTGCCATCTGCCGACTCTCCGCCACATTCTTCGATAGCAACCTTGCCACCGCTTCCAGCGCGACTCCTGCCTCGTCGTACTTGCGCTGCCTATCGACAATGCTCAATATGTCTGGCAGTCACATTGCGGGAAACCGCAATAGCACCCCGGAGGCGAACACGACGCCTACACTCCGCCCCCCTTCCTCGAGAGCTGTCGGGGCCAACAGTCACTTGAGGGCTTCCGCCGACATGGCCGCACTCTCCAACTCATCTCCCTCGAGCCGCATCCGCCCTTCGTCCGACTTTTACGGTTCTCAACAGGCCCAGGGCCATGGCAATCCCGATACGGATCCCCAAGACAAGATCGCGCAGCAGTGGATTGCCGACATTGACCAATATGAGACGACTTTGGAAGAGATGGCTGCAGCCACTCTAGACCAGGACTTCAAAGATGAGCTTAGTGCTATCGAGCAGTGGTTCAGAGTTCTCAGCGAGGCTGAGCGCACTGCCGCTCTTTACGCCTTGTTGCAGCAGACCACGCAGGTTCAGATTCGCTTCTTCATTCAGGTCTTGCAGCAGATGGGCAAGAATCACCCAATGTCTGGCGTTCTGTCCCCGGCCAACTTCGACAAAGGTAAGTCCAGTCTATGCTATCTCCATTCTCTCGCAGCCCAACGCTAACCGTTACTTCTAGACCCCATGTCGAACCGTCTCAGCGATGCCATGAACAAGTTGAACGTTGACTCATCGCGGAACTCTCTTGCTCGCCCCTCGAGCACCGCGACCGGTAAGCGACAGTCGGGCCTTGATCCGTCTACCATCAATGCTATGTTTCCGGATGCCGCTGCAGCTATCGCAACCGAGAAAGCCAAGTTCACGCAACAGACGGGCAACCCTCCCTCGTCTAACCGTAATAGCGCTATAGGCGATGCTCGCCAGTCTCTGACTGCCCCGACAATTGCTGCCCCTGGCGACAACCACGATCCGAATGGTCAGAACCAGTCCTCTCATTGGACTGGCGGCGATCAGTCTGGTCAAGTATCTAAACCCCACGCTGGCCAGCCCCCAATGGGTCAGTTTGTTCAACCGCCTCCGTCGGGTGGTTTGCGATCCCCTCGTCCGCAGATCTCGGGCAGCCAGAACATCCAGAACACCACCTTGACAGCCGGCGACAAGCCAGGAGATATGCCACTACTGTCTCCTTACAATCCTAGTGGTGGCAACTGGGCGTCGATGGTCAACACTCCGCTCGTGGCAAACTTCAATGCCAACAGCGGCACGCAGGCGGACATGGTTGCAAACGCTACGGCGATGAAGTTAGCGGCACTTTCGACTGTCAACAACCGCTTCGCTCTCGATGATGTCCGCAAGTACCGTCGTGCCCGGTCCAATGACGCTCCGGGCACTCCTGGCCAGCAAGGAATGCCACAAGGTGCACAGGGTGTCAATGTTCCCGGTGCCAACGTTGTCATGATCAACGAGCATGGGCAGGTTCTCAGCCGCGAGCAGATGCTTGCCCTGCAAGCCCAGAACATTGGCTTTGGTCAGCATCGATCTCGGCCCAACTCTCCCGGCATTGCGATGCAACCGGGCGGCTTTGGGCCTATGGCCTTTGCTTCTCCTCAAAACAACGGTTTTCTGAGTGCCTATGACGGGGCTTCTCCCCTACTCAACAACGGCATGCCTTCGATGAATGTGGGCCAGTTGGGCGTAGGCAACCATGAAGGTTATCTGTCAGACCACTCCGATATGGTCCGCGGTCGATCTCCTCGTGGACGGAGAGGCAGCTCGAAGCCGCCGGAAGACCCGACGGATCCAACATTGTTGCAAGATATCCCATCCTGGCTCAGAAGCTTGCGGCTGCACAAGTACACGGACAACCTCAAAGACATGAAGTGGCATGAGTTGATCGAGCTTGACGACAAGGCCCTGGAGGACCGTGGAGTCAACGCCCTCGGGGCTAGGCGGAAGATGCTCAAGGTTTTTGAGCAAGTCAAGGGTAGGTACCGAGCCGAGCAAGCTATGTAGAACACCGGAGCTAATGAAGACATTATGAACAGATGCCAAAGCCGAGGGGAAAATCGCCTAAGACCGACTGCATAAGTTGACGCCAAGAGTACTGGGCGTTCGATATGTATCCTGAGTGACGGGGGAAACATGTGTCCGGGGCGGCTGCTGGTGTTGTTGGATAGACGACAACCCCGTGAAGAGACGTTTGAAACCTGCAGATGCGTGTACTTGTGAGGCAGCAAAGGGGGTGGGGAGGGGGTTCCGAGTGCCTAGTTGAACTCGTTATGTGTTTCTGTACATACATAGGAAGATATCACTTCAATTCCGGCTGCGCGCAAGGGAAGGGATTCGCTTTCACCATGCGGCATCATGAGCCGCTGATAATTACGCGTGAGGCCTTGGACATTGTTTTGCATCGTACACTCTGTGGGTCGGAGGCAATTGCTTACGTATTTGTAAAGGCAACCAGCTTGGAGATGATAAGGCACAGTCTGAGCTGCAACAACAGCGGCAGTCAAAATTCTGGTCTTCCTGTAGTCGATAGGGTAGTAAAGCCAAGGTGGTCTCAATGCGAATTCAGTCACGGATGTTATCCGCCACGTGCTTTGGGGTCATGCCTTAGCTCGCTACAGGTAATTAATTACCTGTAGCTATAACCAGCTTAGGTATGATTGGCTGCCCATCAGTACACACCGCATGCAGACAGAGAATTGCATCCATGTGGGGAATAATAAAGTTGGGGTGAGGCAGGTACCTTCCTCAGTGCCTTCGTACCTTCTTGACCCATCCTAACTACTTTGTCAATGGCACATTACCTACCTTCCTAGTATCATATGGGTTTCATGGAGAGGGAGACTCTGGTTGTTAGACAACATAATTGTTTATTTTCCATCTGCAGTCACCACCACCACCACCACCAGACTCAAACGCCGTCTCTGGATTGACAGCCGGTCTATATCTCTAGGACTACGATCCGCTGTCAATGGCAGAGTAAAACCTCACGTCCGGTTTTGTCACCGTAGATGAAAAATTTACTCGGTCAAAGGCAGCGAACCACGGTCAAGGTGACTTAGGTTTTTTTGGGGGGGGAGGTTTTTCATCCTGCTGCGGTCTGCCGAGCACCAAGTACTCCATCAGCTCCAAGCTAAAGAAAAGGTACCGCTCGGTCTGACCACCATCGTTAAATCCTTACCCAGATCCAATACTGTCGCCGAGACTCTCAACTTCGCTGGACCAACGAAAGTCTATTGCCTTTTTCTAACTTCTACTCGGCATCATGGACCCAGGCCTACAAGAGGCAGATGTCGCAACCTTCGGCAATGAAAATGGACTCAATGGCAATAACGATGAAGACACTGTCTCCGATGCCGATTCGGATGAAATGGAGCTTCGAGGAGATATCGAAAAGTTTGATCAGTCTGTCCGAGAGTTCCTCTCTTCTCATCACGGTGGTGGAACAGGAGGCGGCGGCGATGATGGTGGAGGCGACATCGGAAGGCCTCCTCCAGTCCCAAAGGGCAAGAACACAGCCCGAGGTGGCGTTCGTGGACCCAGAAAGGCTGCCGAGCCTCGAGGCGACATCAAGCTTCGTCTCGCAGGAGTCAACCAGGCTTTTATGAGCGGCGATTATGCCCGTGCTCAGAACCTCGTCTTTGAGATCATCAGAATCAATGCCGAAACCCACCAAGCATGGACTGTCTTGGCCTCCATATTCAGAGAGGAGGGCCTCAACGATAAAGCCTTGATGGCTATGGTCATCGCCGCTCATCTGCGACCCAAGGACTTTGCAGCCTGGATGAACTGTGCGTCATTTGCCATGAACCTTGCCGAAGCTGGCCAGGAGGGCGCCCTCAAGACAGCACTCATGTGTTATTCATCTGCAATCAAAGCTCAGCCGGCCAATATCGATGCAAGATTGGGTAGAGCTGAAGCAAGCCATCGCCAAGGTTTCTTGTCGCAAGCCATTACCGAATTCTCCTATGTCATCGAACGTCGCCCGCTGGACATAGATGTCGTTAGGAGGTTGGCCGAGGCCTGCGCCGACTCCGGTGGTACGGAGGATGTCCAGAAGGCTGTTTCTGCATACAAAACATACTTTGCGCATGCGCGAGCAGCGGATCGTGGTGCAGAGAGAGAGCTTTCGTGGCATGACGTCAGCATATACGTTGAACTCTTCGCTTGCGCCGGAGACTTTTCGACCGCTATCACGGATCTCAAGTCACTTTCGCGTTGGCTACTTGGACGCCAGGATGATCACAGGTGGGATGATTGCGTCGATGATAGGGAATGGGATCGTGACGACACGCGCCGTGCTCACTTTCTTTCGACTGAACCCTCTGTATACAATCCTTATGCATATGGCCTAGGGCTGCCTCTGGAGTTCAGGGCTCGTCTTGCCTTGTATCGACTGAAGATCCGTGACGAAGAAGAATCGAACGTAAGGTTACCCATTATGTTATTGCTGTCCCGCGAAACGCGGTCTCTTTTCTGACAGGCTGGCAGAGGCACCTTCAATGGCTAGATCCAACCGAATCTGCCACAGCTACCGCCGTTGAAAATTTTCCTTATCTGATTCGTGATATTGCGGACGAGCTCTTCGCCGTCCAGCGGTACTCCGAGGCGCTCGACTACTACGAACTTCTTCGGCATTCCATCTACGGTCAAGATGCCACCTTATTGCTACATCTTGGGCGCTGCTACCTGACAAAATCGGATCTGGTTGCGGCGGAAGATTGCTTCCTGGTAGCCATTGAGGTCGACGAGAGTAGCATTGATGCCCGCATCGAGTTGGCCAGGATTTACGAAAAAGCAAAGGAAGAAGAGGAAGCTCTCATTCTTGTCACGGAAGCCATTGCTCTTCAAGGCATTAGCGACGACAGTGACCAGTTTGGCGATGGCAGGGGAGATCTGGGAGGCAATCTCGATCGGTCTGCTCCAGGGGCCCGCGCTTCAACCTTGGCAAATGGCAATAAACCTCGACGCAAGCGAGAGACCAAGCGTGGACCGGCCAACAGCAGAATCGTTCGCCCAAGATACCGGCCCAAGAGACTGATTGCTCCGGATCAGCGCATGCAAGAAGAACGTGCGCGGGCCGATGAACTCACCAGGCGCTACGAAGTTGTGCGTAACCTGAAGAAGGAAATACAGGCAGGTGACCACTCATTGATAACAACGTGGATGACCGCTGCTGGCGAACTGGTGGGCGAGTTCAGGTCCTTCAGAAAATTCTATCCCTGGGACAAATATCTCAAATTCCTTGGCGCTGCCAATGATGTCGTTTTTAGCGCCTCGTCGAGAACGCAGCCAGTTCTCTCCGAGTTAGCGGAAAGACTCTCAAAAAGTATGCGAAGAAACTTAGTTCGCCTAATGATACCCATTGTCTTCCTGGGCTAATCGCGCATCGCAGACATGATCCCATCTCTTTCTGACGATAAGCGTATGGGCGTTATGTACGAAGATGATGGTTATCGCGGAATCCCTTTTGGCGAATGGCTCGAGCTGTTCCTCGACTATGCCATCAGCCTGGCGCTAGCTAATCGAGCGGAGGAGGCATACCAGGTCTGTGAAGCGGCGCGAGACTCCATCGTCTTCGTCAACTCCAAGGATTACATGTTTTTGATACATGTGGCATGGGCGGGTACGTCACTTTTCATTTATGCGCGTGTCTCGGAAGCATTGCTGATATGTAATAGCCTGTGCGATATATCTCTCTGATGAGGAGATGTGCGTAGCTGTTGCTAGGTTCTTCATGAAGGTCCGACAGAAGGACTCAGATTCGTATCGCATGTTTGCCGCCTTGTGCAGACTGTGCCAGTCCCCAGCTTCGTGGTATAATTCAGGACCCGCCCAGAAATACATCCTACGCCAGATCAAGATCATCGATGCCTCTCACTTTGCCACATCACACACACATCTGGATCAGGAGGCTATGGCGGGGGGGCGGATAGACACCATCGAAGCCAAACAGCTCGACATTTGCCTACTTATGCTCTACGGCCACATTCTATTCACCTCTACGAGCTACACGTTCGCTCTGAGTAAGTGATTACTATACTTCTCGAAAGACTCTGCACATGCCTCCCTATATATATTGGAACGCAGGGCTAAGCTGGTTAACTCGCAATAGATTACTTCCTTCGGGCGCGGACACTGGACCCTCTGAACCCCATGATAAGTCTTAGCGTCGGGCTAGGATACATACACCACGCGCTCAAGCGACAGGCAGACAACCGTCAATACCTCATTATGCAGGGGTTCGCTTGTGTGTTTGAATTCTGCCACTCGAAGCTCTCAGGGACGCTAGAGAAGAGAATGGAGGCGTATTTTGGAGTGGCAAGAACATTTCACATGCTCGGTCTACACCACTTGGCGCTGGAATGGTATCAAAGGGTCCTTACTGCAGAGGGCTCAGATGTCCCCGAGATGGGCGAACCGCAGGACAACCCGAGCAATCGGGATGTGATACTGAGCGCTGCGTACAATGAGTATGCGCTCTTCATTAGCAGTGGGAGCGCCGAGGAACTTGAGAAATCTGTTCTGCCACGACTCGTTCTCTAGGGTGCATGTAGTTTATTGTTCTCGATAGAAGATGTAGCAAGACAGGTTGAATGGTGGTATGAAACTACAACAGTCTAGGCAGAGAGCGTACATATGTACCATGTTGCATATTTTGTTGAATGATTCAATGACGCGAAATCATCTAGCAGTTAGGCGAGCAAGTTCTAATATGAATTACTTGTCCCAGAGCGATAATAAGGAAGAAAGAACGAAAGTGTTTGAGGGCGTATACATCTATACCCAGGTGCCTCTTGTCAAAGTAGGCAATATAGCCGCGCGCGCCTGTGCCTAAGTAGGGAAAATAGCTAGAAATACAGTACTCGGGGGGGCTTAGTCAGGATTCTCATGCGCTAAATCCCCCCTCCTACAGAGGGGCCAAAAAAAGGGGGGTTACACCTACATTACAAATAGTATTACTTTTAGGTGTAGTATATAGTATAACTAAGTATTTATTTTATAAAGTAGTAACTATAATAACTAAATATATTAATAAGAGTAGTATTAATTAACAGCCTTAAACTAGGGCTTTATAATTATTATAATATTAATTATTACCTAGATATTAGTAGTATAGATTATCGCTAATAAATAGCTAAAAAAAACTATGGCTAATTTACTATAAGATCTACTAGATCTATTAGGGAATTTATAGTAATTTCTTTATAGATCTACTAGATCTATAGGTATATTACGTAGTAAATTTACTATATAATCTTATAATAGTTTTTCTTTTTATATATAATAAAAAACTAGTTTTTACCTCTTATTATTTATTACTTACTTATTAATATATATAGTTAACTATATTACTACCTTAGTAGTAACTAATACTAATTAGTAGTTAGCTTTTATAGTAACTACTACTATAAAATATTATAAATTAGTAAAGTTAATATAAGAAGAAGTAGTTTTTATTATTAATTATCTATAGAGGCCTAAAGTAGGCTTAACTAAAAAACACTACTATAAATATCTTTAAAGTAAAGATTATACTATATACTTATTATAAATAGATTTATACTACTTAGTAACCTATTCTTTTAACTTGTAGGGAGTAGTATAAATTTATATTATTTATATAAGCAATGAAATTTAGTATTATGTAGAAAGTTATTCTTAACTATAATAAACACCTTACTTTATATATCTATATACTAATAATTAGTAACTATTTACTATTTACTTTCTTTTTATTATAAGGCTATAAAGCTTACTAACTTTTTATATACTTCTTTTAAGTTATTTTATATTACTAATATAATAGCCTTTATAACTTATAAGCTTACTATAAACCTTTTTTTTCTTAAGTTCTTTTTTTATTTACTTATAAGTCTTTATAGTTACTTATACTACTAGTAGTAAACTCTCTAATAGATATATACGCCCTTTAGTACTAACTAAAGGAAAGTGTTATTGTAAAGGTATGGGTGGTGTGCCACGCCTGTCAATAGACCATTCTGGCATTGCCAAAAGATCAATCAGTTCAGTGTAAGGGGTTGGCCTGGTTACCCTTTATAAGGCCATGTGTGGTGCATTTCAGGCACTTAGTGCCTGAACTGATTGATCTTTTGGCAATGCCAGAATGGTCTAACATCAGGTTCACAGCGTTGCAGTACGCCAGGCGCGGTAGGCGTCACATAGACAACGGGTGCCTTTCGGCACGGAAGCACGGGTTGACATATAGGTCACTCCAATCACGATAGCTCTAGTTTGTCCGGCACGCGGCTGGCGCGCGCGCCCCAATTCAGTCGAATGGACCTTTACATGTAAACAACACCGATAATTTCAAGTTGTAGGTCTTCATC